ATGGATGAATGTGTGTCCGCAGCTTTAAGTCGTATCTCCTCCTCAACGAAGCAATATCGATGACTAGTTCCAAAAGCAATTATGTTAAGCAAGTTACGAGAATGAACATAGGCCATAAAAATTCCGGGTTTCTTTCATGGATTTCCCAGAAAAGCCAAAAAATCTCGAAAAAAAGCAGTTTTTGGCCCATATCTCGGCAACCAGACCACTTAGCGACTTGAAACATGTACCAATCGATTCCTGTCATAATTTAGAACAATATTGCCGAAGAAAGTTTTCAAAAATATTCTCTCGTTCGGTCACAAATTTTAAAATTACATAAACACCTACAAACCGATTGTTCTTCTAGCTTGAACGCACCCCAACATTATACGTCAGAGCTATTTTTAGATAACATAAGGAAATTGCGCACAAATGTCAATAGACTTTTTTAGTTAACTTGTTTTTACTTGTAGGCTTCTCTTTAGCGTATAATGTAGTATAGCTATCGACTCGAACCTAAATCTTTCATCAACAAACAAATACACAACTCAATTTGATCGTGTATTTCCCAGAAGAGTTTTTAGTTTTAAAAACACGTTTCCATCTTTAAAATTGTCAGAGAACTTAAAAATGCTTTAAATATTGTCTAACTGTAATAACATTCCCTCCTAAAATAGCCCTCGACGACAAGGAAAGGCGACCCGATGAACGCGTACAATATTGATCTGTTCATTAACCACACAAAAAAGAGCGCCTTCAGCATAAAAAAATAATCTGGAGTACAGGGACTTTGTTCCACTATTTTGATCAACCGAAGGCAGACAACTCACCGGAAATTTCATTTATAATCATCAGCGTTAAAGTTATAATAAAGATCTCAGTTGATGAAATGAAGCAGCTGTAAATAATTTTGAAGAAAACAGGCTTACGGCTTAGTGTTAAAAAGTTAGGATAGTAGGCCGTAATGGTGAAGAAGAGAACACTCAAAGATTTTGGTAAATATTCTGCTAATATAGAACGTGAACATCGAACTCAAGGTCGGGGGAGAGAGAGAGAAAGAGAGAGAGGGGGGGGGATAGACAGGCCAAAAGATAGATAGATAGAACACTTGTTGAACGCAGGTATTTTTTTTTACCAAGAAAATAAAGATACTTGTTTCCTGTGGGATTTTAGGACCTAGAGATTGAAAATTGGCTCGGCCCTCGCGTGATGAATAACAATTTATCAATCAGAATAGATCGATTGGCTCTATCGACGAGGCCAACAATTCGTTTAGAACATCCCCAGCCCGGATACACACGGGATCGAACCCAGCATGGGACGGGTCGGAATGATAAACTGAGTGGGGATAAATCAAGGAACACACGTCCATGTAGTGAACAAAATGTAGAGTTCAATCCATATAAGGCACTTTATAACATGGGGTAGGCAAAATATATGTAAAACTTTGTAACATTGTAAACTCATTTTGTATTCTCATAAGTCCGTCAAATTATAGAGTAAGACTGCGGCTTTAGATAAATATATATATATATATATATATATATATATATATATATATATATATATATATATATATATATATATATATATATATATATATATATATATATATATATATTGTGAAAGACGTACTCGTTTAACGATTGACTTGACCACGTGAAATATTTTGCCCTTCTTATTCTCTTTGATAAATGTGATTTTTTTTCAAACGTTTCCATGGAAACAAGACTCGCGAGACACAGAGGGAAACGGACGTCGGGATTCCTAACTAAAAGAGAAAGAGTAAAGCTTTGTAGATGTATAATGGCATTGTGCCCCACCTAGCGGTCCTGGTACCACATTAATCACGAGGTGAATTCTTCTATAGTAGAGAAGTCAGTGGAGATTTAAAGAACAGGGTGCGGAACTACAAAGCACTAATGTGAACGGTGCGTATTCTTTAAGGGACTGATGTGAATTGCGCGGCACTACAAAGCACTAATGTGGATGGTGCGTATTCTATAAAGGACTGGTGTGATTGGTCCGCAACTACAATGCACCGATGTGTATAGTGCGTAACTACAAAGCTTTAATGTGTATGGTGCGCAAATATAAAGCATAATGTGTCCGGTGCGGATCTACAAAACAGTAGTGTGTTTGGTGCAGAACATAAAGTACCAAAGTAAATGGCGAGGTACAACAAAGCACCATCGTGTTCATGTACAACAAAGCAACAACATGTAGCTTCATAACAAAGCACCAACATGTACATGGTACGCTCCAACAAAGCACCAACATGTACATGGTACGCTGCAACAAAGCACCAACATGTACATGTATCCTTTAACAAAACACCAGCATGTAAACATGTACAACAAAGCACCAACATGTACACGGTACCCTCCAACAAAGCACTAACATGTACATGGAGCCCTACAACAAAGCACCAACATGTACAATGTACGCTCCAACAAGTACAACGTACACTCCAACAAAGCACCGACAGTTATCCGCCTTCTGTGTCAAACATTTAAAAAAAACACATGCCGTAAGGACGATATTTGCATCATTCAGCTGGGCGATCGAACACTCAAAGGTGATGTCCTTGAACCCAAGTGACGTAACCTAATTAACAAATGCCGACCGGCATGACGAGTAACGATAATGGATGGTTCGTTAAAAAAATGAGTAATGGGAAAGAATGTTATATTCGCGTAGGTTCAAACGTTAAATGTGTTTTAAAAAATGTATAGAAGTATAGAAGAAGAGATGCATAAGAAAGGCATGGCGTATTAAGGGGCGATAACAATTCAATGTATTGAATATTTAAACCGCGTTAATATGTTTGATATTCCACTAACACTTTGTATCAATGCACACGATCTTTAGAAGTAATGACGTGAATAGGGGTGGTGTGGTCATCCCTGGGGGTGTAGATTTTTTTTAATAAATAAATATACACCGGGGGAGGGGAGCAACCGGACTGACTTTATAAACCTGCCACACTTTAAATTAATTGATGTTATGATTCGCACCGGTTCCCGATTAATGGCTCTAATTGTTCCAAAGCTTGATTAACTCCAGGCAAAACGCTGAAGTAATTTTTTTTTAAATCTCAACTCCTAGGCACGAATAACGTACTGCAGCTGTCGAAATTCTTCGACGTTGTTTTTTTTTTTTCGCTAATTGGTGAGAAACAAAGAAAACTTTTCTAAAGTCAATTGCCCCTCCCCCCAACGTGACAACAATGTGAAAGTTAAACATTAGCACCGTCTAAATGTCGTTCGTTGTGGAGCCCCCCCCCCACACACACACACCTGTCCTACAACTAGATGGAGGTGTGGGGAAAAGGGGGGGGGGGGGCATGCTGCCATTTAATCACTACTTCACCAGAGCACTTAGCACGAATTGAGGATTGCATGTCGAATTTCTTACAAGTGCAAGAATGTGCCATGTGCAGCATGGATATTAGCAAACAAACCAGACCCACACCGCACATTTTATTTTAAGCTTCCCAGCATATTGGAAAACAATTCTGGCCAGAAAATGAATAGAATGTTATTCATTGCCAGCTGTAGAGTTGTCTGGCAAAGATTATTTTTTCCTTTTTAAAAAAAAAAAAAAATCTAATATTAATACAACGAGCCAAGTTATTTAAAAAAAACATCATCAATAATAATCCAAAAATCACAAAACAGACTCCAGATTGATTTTACTTTAAAGTTAAATACAAAATTCAAATGGGGGAATTGTAATACAAAAATAATAATAGTGTCCCATTAAAACAACATGTAATAATTTAATTGCAAAATCTCGGTCATTTTATTTTAATCCTATTAATCTGATAAATTTTAAAAAAGGAATTATATCATAATGAAAAAAAAACTAATTTTAAAACTCTTTACAGAAGTGACTCTGTGAATTCCACAACCCGTTTATGCGTACCTTAGTTTTATCTCTTAAAAGCATTTTAAAATCTATTTATATCCAAGTTCTACAAGCCATATTCTAAAGAAACAGATGTTCTCCTTTGCACTGGGAAGCAAGCTGGGCTATAAATAACACAAACCCTTCCACCCTTTCATTCACATAAAGCCCAACATGAAAGAGAAAATGACTATGGTGCAGATACATTTACAACATCCAAGACAGCAGAGCTCTTCAATAAACCCGGTGCACAATAATATTTATTTGAAGAGCTTTAACAAAGAGATACACTCTATTTTTTAGACATCCATACACAAATGCATTTACATATACAAAAATAGAAGTAGAAAGTCATAGATATTCTAAAACAAACTTGGGAAACAATAATACTTGGGGAGTTTTACTGAAGAGAAATGTTACTTTTCTTCAAATGCCTTTGTATCAGGAACAACAAATGGCACAGCTTTGCTACACAGATATAACAATCAACAAAGATGAGAAAATATATTATAAAGTAATCCTAATATGGAAACCTAAAAAGAGATCTTCAAGTCTTACTCATTCTATAACAGCGGTTCTTAAACTGGGTTAGATCTAACCCCAGGGTTCAGTGAGTCAGTCTTAAGGGTTTGACGGAGGTCAAGACACACACCAGACTCATATGATTCTCAATTAGATGTCAGTGCAGCCATTAATAAGGGTATGGTGAATGCGTATATGAAACTGGTGGGGTCAGTACCTCCACAAAGGATGAGAACCATTGTTCTATAAGAGCCCAATGTTTGTAGTGTGCACACATTTTAGCCAATTAAATCTCACAAATTCAAAAGCTACTTTGGGATATGCCATCTTCCCTATTTAATCCTCCTGAATGTTTTTTGATAGGGACAATAACAACAGCCCTCTTATTAAACTAAAATGCCATTAAATATTCCCTGGCTTTCAACAGTGATAAAGGAAAGACATTCTGCCATATATCCATATTTCTATTTAATAATTAAAAGTTAATGAAGTAGTAGAGTTAGATGAAAGGGAAAAAAAAATACATTTCAAGCCTATCTTTAACAGAGCTACACACAAATTTAGCTAAAACACAGATAAAAACTCACCATCAACTACAGAAAATGCTCTCTCATTTCCAAATGGCACTTGAAGTTTGAACTTTGCACATCTCTCTTGGTTTAATCCATCAAGGAAGTTATAATTTGTTTAGTCTGAAAGTAATTAGGTCAAGCTTTAATGATCAGAACAAACCGCATTAAGTTATGAACTTATTTGAGACTATTAGTAAGTTGTTAAAATGCATGATTTATAACACATAACAGTGTAAGATGAGATGCAGTGAAGGCACTGAAAAGTAAGGATTGGTCTAAAATCTTTGCAACGGGTAGGGTTGTTGTATTTCAAAATTAAGAAGATCTAGCTATTCTTCAAAAGGTTCACAGTACAATGCTTGATAAAAAAAATGTACAAGAGAAAAAAATTATTTTTTTATTATTTGGCTTCAGGTGGCCTCCTGCCAAGTTTCAAACTCACAGAGTAGTTTAAAACCCGCTCTACTTTCATGAGCCAATTTTACTAGCACAATATGTAGGCTACATTCACAGCTACACAGTGAGCATGAGTTAGATCTTTAACAGTTCGCGACCATGACACATGCAGCAGATGAAGTAGAGTCCATCTGTTTCAATAACCTTGGCATACGAGGGGATAGTATGGTCAGCATTATGCCGAGCAGTGTTTCTTTCCCTAACGTGAGTCGGGTACCCATCTCAAGAACATCCTATCGACTCATGCCTGGGATTCGAACTCGAGACTTTCAGGCTAGCAGTCATAAGCTCTACCATTTGACCATGGTGCCACATGAATGTGCTTAAACTGGGTGCACCAGTGCCGCACTTTAACGCTGCAGAAAGGGATAAACTGCCTGTGAGTGTTCAACAGGTAACACCACCTGCTTAGTCACACGCCATTAGTAACCACATTAATCACACTGTTGGCATTTTATTCTTATTTCAACTTTAAACTGAAATGAGGACTTATGGAACTGCCTATGCTGTATGAGGTGCTTCATCTGAACAGCTGGTTAAACTAACATGAACACATACAACTTCTAGACCTAGCTCTGACAGTATTTACAGTTTTAAAAATAGGCCTATGTGTGTAATAGTGTATTTATTGTTTGTTAGGCCTTCCTTTAGAAAAATGGCATGCGTAATGTTTAGTAATAGTTGTTCTTGATTTATTCAATATAGTAAATGGGGATTAAGGCTAGTTAATAACTAATTATTTATCTTATGTGAACATTCTTAACTTTACACAACTAAATCCCAGGAACAGAAATGACCAATGCATTGGATAGTTAGAAATAGATCTAGAATTCTAGATTTAGCACCAAACCCAAATATAACTAAAACACTAAAAGTCTACTTTACAGACTACTTAAAAAAAAAAAAATTTAAATAATTATGCACAGGCCTACGCGGTAATATGCTTATAACACATTTTTAAATAATTAAACAGACCTTAAAAAGTCACTAAATCTAGAGAGTAGAGATCTAGATCTAGGTGTAAATTTAGTTTGAATTCTAGATCTAATAAGTCATCGAAGTGTCTATTCACAGCCGGCTGTGAATAGCCGTATTGGGGCTATTCACAGTCGTAACCGTTTTTTATAGATTTAATGTTAAAAATTTAATTATGGGTATGAAGATGTGTGGTCGAGTGGTCATAGGGAGAGGCTGTCATGCCAGAAGGTGTGTGTTCAAATCCATCAGATGCCAATTGGTCTGACCCTTAATCAGCCTTAATGTATGCCTCTTATTGTTATTATCAAAATATTTTTTTACAATTAGGTCTAGAATCTAGATTCTACTTGAATTACTCATGGGAGGGTTATTTTTGTTAATTTTTTTTTCGTTTGTGACGTAATTGTTGGCATATCAGCAAAAAAAAAAAAGACCTGTCCCGTAGATTTTTGCTAAGAGAAAAAACAAAAGTGTGATGGAAACTGTGAATAATAGCTGATGAAAAAGGACATCCTATTTCACCTGATATTATTATTTATTCTAGATATAGAGGTCTATGTGATAATGTGAATTTTTAATGGTATAAGTCATTGTCATTGCTAGTCATTAGGGCTCAATAAATCATTTTAGCCAATACTGTAGGCCCTAACATTTTTTAATTTGGATTTCAATTTGCCTATCTACTACTATCTACTCTAGAGAATAAAAATATTTTCATTATGATGATGATATTAAATTATTATTGATATTGATGTGTTTTAATATTTTAATTTAGGGGGTCTAATGACTTTAATTTTAATCTAATTAATTAGAAAACTTAGGCCCTATTATTATTATTTCTACAAATAGCTAAAAAAAGAAACGACATTATTCATTAAAGAGAAATACACTTTTTTATACGCCGCTTTAGCCGGGTACTTAAACACTCACAACCACCCTCGCCATCACTCACCGTCTAAAAAAAAATCATCGGCCACCGAAGTGAGATTGAATGAGGCTGACTAATTCACAACAACGGCAATGCATATGTGTATAGAACATCGATAAAAATTATATTTAAAGTAAGATTGTGTATTAATTCATACATTTACCGGCAATGCCCTAAGCGGGTATTATACAGCAACACACTTGTAAAATTTTGTAAACAAAGAGATGTACACTTCAGTCTGCGGATGCAGCGACCTGTGTTCCAGCGCTGCTGCCGTGTAGAAATCGTGAACTCTAACCTTGGCATGTAGAGAAATGATTGATCGGCCTACGCCACGTGATTGCTCGCCGCTGTCTAGTTTATTATTAGTAACAACACGTGTTTTCTCTTTCTCCAAGACCGGGGGAAAACAAGAGATAAGCGTTCATTGTAGGATTGTGGATATAAAAACTTGTATATCAATGAAACAAAATAAAAATTGCTTTACTGATTTTTTTTAATATTGAATTTAAACAAAGATTTATTTTAGTTGGATTAAGGAACTAAGGTTAATTAGAAACATAAAAATGCAAGCTAAACATTTCAATATTATTTCAGTATTTGTTTTAGCTATCCTTTGAAAATAAAAAGAATGGCGCATGTTCAGCATATTGTGCTATTTAATCCTTCAAAATAGATCTATGATTTAATGATTTAGATCTGTCTGATTACATTTTCTTTTTGTTTGGGATATTTTATTTACATCAGAAACAAAATCTAATAAACCATTCAATGAATATAATTTGCCCCTACCCCCTTCGGATTTGTTTAATTAATATTTGCGAAATCCCATAGCGTTTGATTTAAAATAAAATTGTATGTTACTCGGTACCCTAAAATTCAAGCGTGCTGGCTCGTATGGCGTCAGATGACTTGGAGTTGTGTGACAGTAGCGTAGCGAGGGGGGCGGGGACACATATGTCCCCGGGCCCCGACCTTAGGGGGCGCCAAAATGGGTTGGAAAAGTAAATTGAAAGGTTGAGGGGTGGAAATCGAAAGTTTTTGAGGGGGGGGGGGTGCAAATCGAAATCTTGACGGGGGGGGGTGCAAATCGAAAAGTTTGTCCCCGGGCGCCGGGAAGGGTCGCTACGCCTCTGTTGTGTGACGCCAGATGACTCGAACTCACGTGACGCAGGATGACTCCAAATGTTCACGTCCGGCTTACAAACATTACCAACAAAAAAACTGTTTTTCCTGCACCTGTTTATCAGACGTAAAGCATGTGGGGGAAATCTGGGGGTGTCGCGTGTGTGGGTGTGTGGGTGGGGGACTAAACAGTTTACAGCTGCATAATGGCTCTTGGGGAGAGCCTGAATGCGGCTGGGGTGTCTTTGATGGGGTAAGGAGCGGATGGGTAATTTTTATATTAGAGTTTTTCCTTTGAAGCCCCCTGAGGAACAAAGGGCTGTAGCTATACTCCACTGGACTGTTTTGGACAACTCTCTTTAATTGAGGCCATGTAAGTCCAGCAGTCCCTGGGGGAGGGGTCGTCCATAAATGACGTCACACCCGCAGGGAGGAGGGGGGTCCGTAATTTTGTGACGGTGTGATGAGGGGGGGGGGGAGGGTTCAGATGGTGTGACGTCACTTTTTGCATTAGAAAATGAGTTTTAGACGTTATTTCGCGTTTTAGTAAACGGTTTTAATAAATTATTAATAGGAATTGATCAAAATACTATGTTGGCAGAGTTCTGACAAGATTTTGGAAAATATCGATGTTTTGAGAACAATTCTACAGCAATTTTGAAGAGGGTTGTAGGCTGAGGTGTGACGTCATTTTAGCGGGGGGGGGTGGGGATCTGGCTTTTTGACGTCATTTATGGATGACCCCCTTGCTTCCACTGTCCTTCTTCATGTTTCTTTAGGTCGGCCTTCTTTTCTTTTCTACTGGGGATTCCACAACAATCGCCTTGATAATCGTATTTATAAATAAGTATGTACTATGTATTGTATGTATCGTACTGCTTGTGTAGCTTCAACATCTTTCACCCTATATACATAGGCTTATATTCCCCTTACATATATACACAACTCTAAGTAAGTTCGTAGTTTTACACAATCATTTAAAACATTGGCGATTTAACGTATAATGTAGTATAAGAAATAGTGAAAAAGGTCCCAATGTTTCAAATAAACTAACGTTTCGATTGTTTTGTACAAGGTAGCCCACTACGACAACAAGAACAGGCTTGAGCTCCACTGGATGCGTGCTACGTAAAACTGAGATTATTATTTTTAAGGCTGAACATACTGTGGATTTTGCAACAAATTTAGCGACTGGAGTTCGTCTCTCTGACTGGGGTGAATCGCCCCCTCCGCCACACCCTAGCTTCGCCAATGTACAAACTATATATTACCAGGTTTTGACTTTTAAGTTTTCTATAATATGTTCTCTTATTTCTACCGATTATGGCATGAAACGGGAATTTTAAAATAAGCTATTGCTGTCTAGAGTGTTATTTCCCCGCTCGCCTGTTTGTTCTTATACCACCAAAATGATGTACTCATCATTTGCATATGGCCGAAGTTTATGTTTCTAAAACGGGTGGATTGGTATCACGTGTCCCATCTGTCATCCCTCCCCTCACCCTACCCTTTCCATTCTAGGTGCAATATTGAACAATCCCCAAACTTTGATTTGTCTTGTCTTTACCACCACCCTTTCTCCCCCACATCACACACACACATCACACACACATGCACATACACACACATCACACACCCACTTCACCCAACGCTTCAATATGCCAAACCGTCATGTACTCACAGGTACCGGCGTGATAAAAAAAAAAAAAACTTGGCACCGACACCCACTGACTCACTCGTGCGATAAACCCGGCTCCTGTAATCCTGGATCTGAGGATTAGGTTGAGGGGGGAAATGACAAATGTTGTTTTCTTTTCGCCTCGATATATTTGTTCATACCTCGGTGATATTTTGTACTGATAGCCACGACGTTGTGGAGATTAGTCGGCCGGCGGATGAGTTCTGATCAAATGTTATTTTAGTGTAGGTAGGCGAAGAGCTGTAGGCTGTTTGAGAGAAGTGGTCGACTGGTTGAGGTTTTGTGGTGAGGTACAGGGGTGCAGGGGAGCGCTCAGTACATGAGGTGTTTGAAGGGAATAACAGGGGTGTGGTCTTTTAGGGGTGTGGGGTACGTAAGCGTGTATAGACTATTAGGGGTGTGGGGAGTAGGTACTAAGGGTGGGTACATCGTGGGGTGTAGACTTTGGTGAAAGGATTGGGATTACATAGAGAAATATTGAAACGTTAGATGGGGGGGGGGGGGGGAGTAGATATAAAAATGTGTAGATCTTTAGCAACAGTGTGGGGAGTGGTTGTACTTACTTATAGAGATGCTTGTAGAATAGAAATGGAGTTCAATCAGTGTTTCTTCCAGACTTTTTTCTCCGGGGGGGGGGGGGGGGGCGAACTAAAAATTCTGGGGGGGCGGGGGGGGGGGGGCGAACAATGTTTATAGTATATATTTCTAGATAAATTCCCTTTCGGGAGATGCCTGGAAGAAACTCTGAGTTCAGTGCAAACTAATAGTGGTTATTTGGAGATAAGCATCATTTCTATAATCAGTGTTTGGCTACCGAAACTAAAATGTCGTCTTTGATTGGTTTTTAAACTGTAAATTAGATATATGAGAGAAGAAGAAAATACACTGAAAGCCACTGTATAAAACTAGTTTTTCCTTTTTTTTTTGAGTTGTTTTTATTTTAATTTTAATACATGCTATCATAATTTAAAGTGCTCTAAAAATGGCAACAACGTGAATCTTAATGTTAGGCTAGGTAATGTTAGGTTACCCTGTCGCCCCTCTAGGGTCATAGGCCGCTGACAAGAGCTTTCCAGGCATCCCTGTCCTCAGTGTCCTGGGCTAGTCTCTCTCACCTGTCCCCAGGTGTATCCAATCCAATCTTCTAAATGTAGTTTGTTTTAATTTAACTTTTCAATGTTTAGCGATCAAACCTACCGTCTCGAATTTACGAGGGAGGTAAAAAAAAATTAAATACCACAATGTTGTCGAAGTTTCGGATTTGTTTTTTTTTTTGTAAATACAACGATAATTTATGAGGCCTGCTCAATGTTTTTAAAAATAAAGGATGAAGTCGAAGCTTGTTAATTTTTTAATTTATTTTTTTTAAACTGTAACAAAAATTTATGGGGAAGATACGACTCAAGTGCCAGCAAAGAATATCTCCTCTGGGAGAGGGGGGGGGTCAACGTTTTTTTTTTTAAAAAGCTGTAAAGCTAACGAAATAGCATAAAACAGCAGATGGTTAAAAAAGCTTTTGCCAGATTTTTAGAAATTCTAATCATAACACAATAACAAAACCCTTATTGCTTTGACAAGGCCTTTGCTGGATAAACGGCGACTAACTATCTTTAGCCTGTCCATAGTACGTGTATGAAGAGATTTAATCTTCTGACGGCCAGTGCCCTCCGCCTCATTATGATAAGGGATACCTTAATACAAGTACCAGTTTAATGTATAGCTTCCTGTAGCTCATTGTTCTTGGAGACTGAAGGAGTTTACTCATTTTCCTAAATGGAGGCTGTGGGAGGGGGGGGGGGACGTCACTTAGTAGCCGAATTAGAAGTTGTGGGGGTCACAAATTTGCCAAAATGGAGGCTGTGGGGGGGGGGGGGGGGGTCACACAGTTGCCAAAATGGAGGCTGTGGGTGGGGTCATACATTTGCCTAAATGGAGGTTGTGGGAGGGGGGTGTCGTTGAGTTGCCGAATAAGAGGGGGAGGGTCACATATTTGCCGAAATGGAGGCTGTGGGGGTCACGTATATGTGAAATTAAGAGAAAGAACCAGACAGCATGTCTCTATACAATTATATCCGGTAATTCACTGTAACGTTATCGTGTTTACTATTGCTTAACGGCGGCCTAAGCCATCGATTTAATTATCTGCATCGAACTCTGTGAGCCTGGTTACCTCTGCAGGTGCATGTGTGAGCGTATGGACTGCACACTGTGCCTGCTTTAATTAGAATCTGGAATCGCTAAAAGGGAGGAAATTACAACAAGGTTGATCGTTCCAAAAAGTTCTCCCCCTTTAAGCTCCCTAACCAAGAGAATACTAGTTACACCTACCCTTTTCTTCCACAACCACCCTCACCCCAACTACACCCCCACACTCTTCCCCCCACCACACACACTAAGAGGATAAAAATAGTTACACCCCCTAACACCACAATCCTCACCACAGTATATAAGGGAGAAAAAAGTTTAAAATCCTATAGTGTACGTTCATTTAAATATTGCCGTTACCTTTCAACAAATGGAACTCTGACGGGCAAGGAGTTTTTGGTAAAACCGACCTTTTGCCCCCCCCCCCCCCCACCAGACGCCGGCACCTAGCCCCACCCCCACCCGGCGCTCAGGTAACTCACAGACCGTGGGAAAAGTCATCTTGCTGCCACGGTGTAGGGTTCTCTCCTACCTCCACACATACCCCACCTGGGGGAAGTGAGGTTTTGCACACATAATCCACTGGGATGGGGTAATCCTTTTACTTACATATCCCACATAATAGAGATGGCACTTTACACATACACAACACCTGGTAACCACACCTGGTTCGTTTTTACATAATCCATTTGGTAGAGGTACTTCCTTTATATACATATCCCACATAATAGATGTGACACATTACATATACACCACACGTTGTAACCACACCTGGTATAAGTTCGTTTTTACATAATCCATTTGGCATGGGGTAATTCCTTTACATACATACACCACCTAATCATGGTAACATTTTAAATACATATCCCATTTAATAGTGTTGACATTTTACACATACAACACACCTGCTTGAATTCGTTTTTACACAATTAATCTGATGGGGGGGGGGGGGTAAATCTAAAAGGGGTAACTTTCGACACACAGGTAAGATTTGACACACATACATCACATAAAGCAGGTACGAGTTCAGTCACATACCCAGCATGATAGATGTATTTTTTTTAAATTCACGTATCCCACATACAGTGGTAACCTTTAACGAAAATCTCACAGCTTGTATTAGCAACACTTAAAACATCTAACTCAACAGGTATAGGTAGCTGTACTTACCCATACACCACACCTGAAAGGCTTACCAATACAAGCATGTAGCTCACCTGGTAGCAGGGAAGGGGGGTAACCGATCGTGTTATCTTATCAGCAGTGTCTGTGTGAACATGTTCCTACTGAGCACAGCTTGATATTCGTTCCTTCAGCAAAATAAAAAGTAACTCCTCTGTTACTTGCACGGGCAATTACTGCGGGACTTCAATATCCCCTTGCATATTGTACACCGCGTAATCTCCTACCTGATGAGTGATCTGCTAGTTAAAACTCGATGCAAAGTGTATTTTTTTTTTAAATACCACGTTTACGTTGATAGACTTTATAACAGAATCTTAGGAGAAGAAAAGAAAAAGTCGTGTTCAAAGGGAAATAATCATTAATATTTTTAAAGAAATTACTTTTCTCAGAGTTGCTTTTCTTTGTTTAATAAAAATCCTTTCGTCAGACATGAGTTTATAACTGGGTTAAATGAACGAGTAGCATAATAAACAATTAAATAAAATTAAAATAAAACCATGTTGGGCAAACGAATGAAAAATAAACATTTTTAAAAATTAAGATATATTTTTACTTTTTTTTATTTGATAATAACTCTCTATTTGAAGTCTATTTGATATATTATACTTACAAAGAACTTGCAAAACTAGGTTAATTTTCTAAATGTTATTGGCTATTTTGTTGCAAGTTTGCATTATTATCTTAGTCGGAATAAAGGTAGAAGTAGTGTAATTAAAAAGAAAAAAAACAGTCTCGAAACAATCGTCAGCATTTTTAACCTACTAGTCGAGCAAATGCATCATAATTCTATTTTATATCAACAGTTTTTTTTTTTTTTGCCAATGCATTACATTGTATATCTATTTTAAATCAAGAGATGTTTTTTTTATTATTTTTTATTTATTTATTTTTGTTTTTGGCATGGCGTTCACTTGAATATTTGTTTGAAATCCACAGGGTGTTTTTTGCCATCGCCTTCACGGGTATCTCTGTTGGTCAAGCCGCCTCGTTCTTGCCGGACTACACCAAAGCTCAACTCTCGGCAGGGTACATCTTCACCATGATGGACATCGTGCCCAAGATAGACATCTTCAGCTCAAAGGGGACTGTACAGGTCAGTGGATGCTTAAAAAAGGTGTTTTTCATAAAACATTTTCATCCATTTTTATTTTTTTTGAAAATTGCATGTTGCTAACATTATTTGAAAAAATATTAAGAATAAAAAACAATGTAAATATTTCGATATATATATATATATATATATATATATATATATATATATATATATATATATATATATATATATATATATATATATATATATATATATATGTATGTATATATATATATATATATGTATATATATATGTATATATATATGTATATATATATATATGTATATATATATGTATATATATATATATATATATATATATATATATATATATATATATATATATATATATATATATAACGAATTTTTTTAAAAAATATAGTTATTTAAGTCTTCGTGGAAATGAAATCAGATAATAATATAAAGTACCCTTTTTATAATGAAAATACAACTACAAAACTACAAACTCGAAAGGAGTTAATACTTGGATTTTATTTTTCCCTTATAGTTACTGTAACTTTCTGTCCACAGCCAAATATTACCGGTGAGATAAAAATTGAAAACGTCCACTTCAGTTATCCAACCAGGCCGGATGTTGAGGTTTTGAAAGGGATTGACATCTCGGTGAAACCTGGTCAAACTGCTGCCCTTGTTGGTATGAGCGGCTGTGGTAAAAGTACAGTCATCTCCCTTGTGCAACGATACTACGATCCTTCTGAAGGGTCCATTGTAAGTTTTGTTATATGTCCATCATAAGTTTTTCTGCTTGCCATGAGCGTTGGTACTGTTTGTTATAGAGGGTTATTTTTTTTTTTTGGAACTGAGAAATATCAAAACAATGAAGTGATATTCATAATGTCGATTATTCTGAATTATCAGATCATTAAATGAAGTCCTGATGTCTTTATTGCATATCCAGTTAAATGTTCGTGGTCGTTGCCTCCCCTGCAATACGTTTATCATATCCCATTGGCTTAGTAATAGCTGCAATTTAACATTTACCGATTTTGTATTAATGTCAAAACTTCTTAGAGTTAATTTTTTTTTCTATTATTTAAAAATATAAGCTTTTTGCGTAAATCATAACATAGTTCAGAGCTCACTGTTTTTTCAAAGTCATAGAAACAGATAAACTCTACTTCATCTGCCATTTGTGTTAGACATAAACGGGAAAAGATGATAATTATATTGATGATGATGATGATATTGATGAAGATGATGGTGATGATGATGATGATTTTTATAATCTGTATTAAAATAAATAAAAATTACCGTCTCAACTTCCCCCACCCCATGATCCCCCACCCACCACCCCCCACCGCCCACCCTCTGTAACAGCTTGTGGAAGGTACCAACATCAAAGACTACAACCTGAAACATCTGCGTTCCATGATCAGCGTCGTCAGCCAGGAGCCCATTCTCTTCGACTGCAGCATCAAGGAAAACATCACCTACGGCCTGGACAACGACATCCCTATGGCTGATGTTATTGCTGCAGCCAAAACAGCCAACGCTCATGACTTTATTTCTAACTTGCCCGATGTAGGTCTATTGTATAGTGACGGTTGTGGTATAGGTCTATTGTATAGTGACGGTTGTGGTATATGTGGGTCTATTGTATAGTGACGGTTGTGGTATAGGTCTATTGTATAGTGACGGTTGTGGTATAGGTCTATTGTATAATGACGGTTGTGGTATATGTGGGTCTATTGTATAGTGACGGTTGTGGTATAGGTCTATTGTATAGTGACGGTTGTGGTATATGTGGATCTATTGTATAGTGACGGTTGTGGTATATGTGGGTCTATTGTATAGTGACGGTTGTGGTATAGGTCTATTGTATAGTGACGGTTGTGGTATATGTGGGTCTATTGTATAGTGACGGTTGTGGTATATGTAGGTCTATTGTATAGTGACGGTTGTGGTATAGGTCTATTGTATAGTGACGGTTGTGGTATAGGTCTATTGTATAATGACGGTTGTGGTATATGTGGGTCTATTGTATAGTGACGGTTGTATATGTGGGTCTATTGTATAGTGACGGTTGTGGTATATATGGTTCTATTGTATAGTGACGGTTGTATATGTGGGTCTATTGTATAGTGACGGTTGTATATGTGGGTCTATTGTATAGTGACGGTTGTGGTATATGTGGGTCTATTGTATAGTGACGGTGGTGGTATATGTGGGTCTATTGTATAGTGACGGTTGTGGTATATGTGGGTCTATTGTATAGTGACGGTTGTGGTATATGTGGGTCTATTGTATAGTGACGGTTGTGGTATATGTGGGTCTATTGTATAGTGACGGTTGTGGTATATGTGGGTCTATTCTATAGTGACGGTTGTGGTATATGTGGGTCTATTGTATAGTGACGGTTGTGGTATATATGGTTCTATTGTATAGTGACGGTTGTGGTATATGTGGGTCTATAGTATAGTGACGGTTGTGGTATATGTGGTTCTATTGTATAGTGGCGGTTGTATATGTGGGTCTATTGTATAGTGACGGTTGTGGTATATGTGGGTCTATTGTATAGTGGCGGTTGTGGTATATGTGGATCTATTGTATAGTGACGGTTGTGTTATATGTGGGTCTATTCTATAGTGACGGTTGTGGTATGGGTCTATTGTATAGTGACGGTTGTGGTATTTCGGGGGTCTATTGTATAGTGACGGTTGTGGTATATGTGGGTCTATTGTATAGTGACGGTTGTGCTATATGTATGTCTATTGTATAGTGACGGTTGTGGTATATGTGGGTCTATTGTATAGTGACGGTGGTGGTATAGGTCTATTGTATAGTGACGGTTGTGGTATATGTGGGTCTATTGTATAGTGACGGTTGAGGGATATGTGGGTCTATTGTATAGTGACGGTTGTGGTATATGTAGGTCTATTGTATAGTGACGGCTGTGGTATATGTATGTCTATTGTATAGTGGCGGTTGTTGTATAAGTGACGGTTGTGGTATGTATTTAGGCCTATGTGTGTAGATTTGTTACGTTTGTGAAATGTGTGTTCATTTGTTACGTTTGTGAAATGTGTGTAGATTTTTTACTACTGTATTTGTATAAGTTGTTAATAATCTCCATATTTGTGACGGGCTGGGTTGATTAAGTGTTGCAAATGTACAATAACATGGTGAGTGATAGAGCACATTATTATTTTCTCGTTAGTCTACTGCTCGGTTTCCAGGACTTGAGTGTTTAAGAATCCGCGGTATCGAGATATGGGTGTTACTTTTTTTCATTGATTAGTAGCCGATTCAATAATAATTGCCCCAATTTTCGGAATTTAGTTTCCTTTTGTTTGTTGTGTATTTTTTAATTTTATTTTTTCATATTTTTCATATGTTTTTTCTTCATTATTTTTTTAAAGTTTATTTTAATTTGATTAAATGCCAATTCTGGCATTCCACAGGGCTATGAAACACAAGTCGGTGAAAAGGGCACGCAACTCTCTGGTGGACAGAAACAAAGGGTGGCCATTGCCCGTGCACTTATCAGAAACCCCAAAATTTTACTGTTGGACGAAGCCACATCTGCACTAGACACGGAGAGTGAAAAGGTACCGTTCGATGTTGTCCTTTTTATAAAGATCTGCTCAATTCTCCAGGGCGCTAGTTTCTCATTATTTAATTAATTCTTACGCCTTTCATTTCTCATTAATTCAAAACAATGTTATGCTGTTCGTATCTATAGCATATTTTTTTTTTCAATTTCACGAGATGCGATCAGAATAACATTGATAAACGCTAAACAATCTTACGCTGTTCGTTTCACGTTACTTTAAAATCTGGCCAATGGATCGCTAGGCTACAGAAGATTTTTTTATATATATCTTGACCATGGCAACATCTATAAACAACGTCGGGGCCATGGAAACCACTATAAACAACATCGTCGCCATGGAAACCATGTGACGCCTGGTATGAGCCTTACCCCAACTCTTGTTCCTAATCCACAGATCGTCCAGACGGCCTTGGACAAGGCCAGGGAGGGCAGGACCTGCATCGTCATCGCTCACCGCCTCTCCACCATCCAGAACGCTGACGTCATCTACGCCATGGAGCAGGGGCGCGTCATCGAGAGCGGAACCCACCTGGAGCTGCTGGCCAAGAGGGGAGTGTACTCTGTGCTTGTTCAGGGGCAACAATTCATGAAGGACGACAACTCTAGTCAAAATTAAATAGACCCTTTGTGTAATTTAACTGATTGTTGTGTTGTGTTTTTGAAATTTATATTTTTTTTTTTACATATGAAATGAATAATTTACAATGAATATTTCTCATACGATTGTGTGTTTTTTAAATGTTGTTTCCCAAGTTGCTTAAGTTATGTGAATATGATGATGATGCTGATAATAATTTATTATCAATAAGTTAGCTTAAAATAGCGTAAACAAATTAATAGATGTGTATTGAAGTGTTGTGTTAACGATTATTTAAATTGAAAAACAAACACATATGTGTGGTTTTCATTGAATATAAAATTAACTTAGGCTATCACTACTTATAGATTACAAATGTGGTTACTATAGGTTAAAGCTCAACAACCAGGAATTAACTAATGACATCCACTTAAATGTGGAGAATAGATCTTATGTCCACGCTACATTATGATTTAAAATACAAATAAAACACATTCCAATTCACATTTTACTTTAATAATGTTTGTCATTTTTGTTTAATAAAGATCATATTTTAGCAGCAAATATCGATTTGCTTTATAGACAAATTTTATATTGAAGTGACATTTATATTGAAGTTGTATTTTTTTAATTGTGTAATAAATGAATATTGTATTATTTTGTTCCTATGTTATTTTTGTATGTGTTGTGTTGACACGGACCGGTTTTTGTTGCAGTCATATTGTAGCCTATATGAAAGGTGAATGTAATAATGAATACCTAGTGATAATTCCTTAGGAAATGTACACATACAGTAAAACCCAAATGGGACAGGGAGTGCTCTATAATATATAATTTAAATTAGATCTAGTTGCATGGATGAGGCTATAACACATAACGTTTGTTTAGTTTGTTTTTTTGTTGTTTTTTTTTTAATTGTGTGTTTCGGCATGACAGGATACATGGGCTGTCAACACACCTTTTATATTTATCACAGAAAGAAAAGTGTATTCTCTATTGTTTCCAGTCAAGATGGAATGAGCAATTTACTATGTGTAACATCTAATTGTGTCCAATTTTGTGTATAATGGTTAAGTTGAAAGGGAGAATTGATGTGTGTATATATATATATATATATATATATATATATATATATATATATATATATATATATATATATATATATATATATATATATATATTTATATATTTATATATATTTATATATATATATATATATGTATATATATATATATATATATATATATATATATATATATATATATATATATATATATATATATATATATATATATATATATATATATATATATATATACTAGCTGCATACCCGTGCTCCGCCACGGTGAATCTTTTTTAAATGTACCAACTTGGGAACAAAACGAAACTAAACACAATACAAACACAAAAACAACATAAACACAAAAACAACACAAACACAACACAAACACAACACAAACACAAAAGAAAACACAAACCCAAAAGCAAAAACATTTTTTCTTTTGGTTAACGTGGTGATGTCTATTTCCGTTTCTGAGTTGAGGCTTGTCAATGTTTTGATATGTTTTGATATGTTGTTGTTATTGATTCTCCAACTGGTGGCTTCGCTGCAGTCGTAATTGGAGTTGCTTAGTTTTTCGTCGACTTTGGGGATTCCGTTGGTTGCTGCGGTGTGGATGATCCGCCTGGTGGCTCTGTTATAATCGTCAGTGAACTTGGTTGTTTGTCCCTCGGTTGCTGCTATAGTCATGTATCCTGTGTTGTTGGTCCCTCGGTTGCTGCTGTAGTCATGTATCCTGTGTTGTTGGTCCCTCGGTTGCTGATGTAGTCATGTATCCTGTGTTGTTGGTCCCTCGGTTGCTGATGTAGTCCTGTATCCTGTGTTGTTGGTCCCTCGGTTGCTGCTGTAGTCCTGTATCCTGTGTTGTTGGTCCCTCGGTTGCTGATGTAGTCCTGTATCCTGTGTTGTTGGTCCCTCGGTTGCTGATGTAGTCCTGTATCCTGTGTTGTTGGTCCCTCGGTTGCTGCTGTAGTCCTGTATCCTGTGTTGTTGGTCCCTCGGTTGCTGCTGTAGTCCTGTATCCTGTGTTGTTGGTCCCTCGGTTGCTGATGTAGTCCTGTATCCTGTGTTGTTGGTCCCTCGGTTGCTGCTGTAGTCATGTATCCTGTGTTGTTGGTCCCTCGGGTGCTGCTGTAGTCATGTATCCTGTGTTGTTGGTCCCTCGGTTGCTGCTGTAGTCATGTATCCTGTGTTGTTGGTCCCTCGGTTGCTGCTGTAGTCATGTATCCTGTGTTGTTGGTCCCTCGGTTGCTGATGTAGTCATGTATCCTGTGTTGTTGGTCCCTCAGTTGCTGATGTAGTCATGTATCCTGTGTTGTTGGTCCCTCGGTTGCTGATGTAGTAATGTATCCTGTGTTGTTGGTCCCTCGGTTGCTGCTATAGTCATGTATCCTGTGTTGTTGGTCCCTCGGTTGCTGCTGTAGTCATGTATCCTGTGTTGTTGGTCCCTCGGTTGCTGCTGTAGTCATGTATCCTGTGTTGTTGGTCCCTCGGTTGCTGCTGTAGTCATGTATCCTGTGTTGTTGGTCCCTCGGTTGCTGCTGTAGTCATGTATCCTGTGTTGTTGGTCCCTCGGTTGCTGATGTAGTCATGTATCCTGTGTTGTTGGTCCCTCGGTTGCTGCTGTAGTCATGTATCCTGTGTTGTTGGTCCCTCGGTTGCTGCTGTAGTCATGTATCCTGTGTTGTTGGTCCCTCGGTTGCTGCTGTAGTCATGTATCCTGTGTTGTTGGTCCCTCGGTTGCTGCTATAGTCATGTATCCTGTGTTGTTGGTCCCACGGTTGCTGCTGTAGTCATGTATCCTGTGTTTTTGGTCCCTCGGTTGCTGCTGTAGTCATGTATCCTGTGTTGTTGGTCCCTCGGTTGCTGCTGTAGTCATGTATCCTGTGTTGTTGGTCCCTCGGTTGCTGCTGTAGTCATGTATCCTGTGTTGTTGGTCCCTCGGTTGCTGATGTAGTCATGTATCCTGTGTTGTTGGTCCCTCGGTTGCTGCTGTAGTCATGTATCCTGTGTTGTTGGTCCCTCGGTTGCTGCTGTAGTCATGTATCCTGTGTAGAGAGGTTTGCTTCTTGGCAGTGATTCGTCCAGTGAAGGGTGGAGGAACAGATTTGACACGCTTGTCTTCTCCCGGCGATTGCGATGAGGATAGTGAATGATTTGTTTTTGTAGTTTATTTTGATGTAGTTAGGGAAAGTTGTTGGATTATCGGTGTAGGTAGAAAAGCTGCGATTATTAATGTGTGGGATTGTGTTTATGGGTGGCTCTCTGTTGTTATATGGGCGTAGTTCTTGTATGAGTGTAGCATTGTTAAGTGTAGGGGGTACCCATCTGAGGGCCCCGTTGATTTTGTTGTTTTCATGAAGTGAGAACTGCAATGTATATGGACCATGTGTTTTGCATTGTGGTGACGTCGAAGGCTTGTGAGGAGCAATACTAGGTGTCAGCTCTGCCATAATTGAGCAGAAGAATTTGATGATTGCTGATAAGCTGTCTTATCTTATCATTTTTTTTTTGACAGCATAAAAATAGACATTTTATTTTACATCTTTATGTACATGTTTGCTTTAGAGAAAATAAAACATTTCTTACAAACTGAATCAGTAAATCTGTACAAATGTGGTGTGTACATGATGCAATTGAACACAATTCCAGAACTATCTGCAACCCTTCAATGTTTGCTGTCTGGATAGGCCAAATTCCATTTATAAGTCACATAAGCAAAACATACTGAGAGTAACTAAACAAAGTAATGCTGTTATTTTCTTCGCTGTTTCTTTCCCCCTGAGCCCTCTTTCACACTTTGTTGGGATGTGGATGGTTCTGTATTTGCAGAGATTTCTCTCTTCTGAGCTGCTTGCCATAAAGCACTTTTCACAAATCTTTTGCTGACATCTTTATTAAGTTTAGGAGCTTTCTTTTTGTCCTCAATTTCCTTTACTCTCTGCATGTAGCTCTGAATTCTTGTCAATTCTTGCTTCACTGCATGTTCTTTTGGGTTTAGGCCACAAACATTCATGTACATCCAGAACAAGGAGTTGATAGCATATGCAGCAACTAAATCTACTTTAGCAGCATCAATGGGCTCCAACTTATCTGTAAGCTCGTTGCGATTAATAGAAAGGAGGGGCTTTAACTCAGCCTCTAACTCTGATAAATGTGTATCAAATGAAGCTATATTTTCTTTAATTTCACTAGGTATTCCGTGTTCGTCAGGTCTTGCGGATGACATTTTAATGTTTTCTGTGGCTTACCACTACTAGATGTTAGCTTATCAAACACAAAAAATTAATCTGAAGACTTACATATTATCAATTATATAATATGAATACTTGCATTTGTACAAATAAATGAATTTATATATTCATGGTTTTACGTAAGTTAACGTCTTAAATAAAAAGGTAAAAGATGTTGATAATACAATATTATCTTATTTTTAAAAAGCAACACATTGTTATTTTATTCAAGTTTTTCATACTTTTAATTTTAAGTATTAGGTATTTAATTTTTCATTACTTTTCGAATATTGTATAACTCATTTAAGTTAGCATCCCTTGGTTTGTTTCAACCATTAGAATGGGAAGTAATTACCTATGTATCTTATTCTTTTTCGCGACATATTGAAATAGTAGTAACACAATCACATATTTTTAAAGAAAACAAAAACAACCTATAGGCAAACGGTTTACACTCACGTTCATATCACGCTGCTATTGTTCTAAGATAGGAGAACTTTAAATTCGAGATTTATTGAAAAATACCAAAAAAAGTTATAAATAAATATTAAAATAAAAATGTGTAATAAAATGTAATATATTTTATTTAAATCGTATCAATTAGGGATTTTTTTTTCGTGCGAACGGCTTTCGGGCATTTGTCGCATTCAGGCAAGTGTCCGATCTGGTTTTTGTCGCATCCCGGGCAAATGTCAAATCGGGAAAACGGCCATGAGCAAACAATATTTGGTCAAATGTTTTACGGGACTTTGTTGTTATGCCTTTTGACGATTCTAGCCTTAAATGTTTGCACTCTGAACTATTTGTAAGTAGGCTACATGATTGTATCGATAACCAGAGTTTCTTCCAGGCATCTCTTCGGGGGGGGGGGGCAGTGCCCCCCCCCCCGAAGAAAGTCTACCGCCCCCCCCCCCCCGAACGAAATGGAATATATATAGAAAATATATACTTTCTACAGTGTCCGCCCCCCCCCCCCCCGGAAATTTTTGCCCCCCCCCCCCCCCCGAAATTTCAAGTGCACCCCCGGAGAAAAAGTCTGGAAGAAACACTGTCGATAACTATCTATATATATAATTTTCTTCTTGGATACCCTAGAAAACACCAAACTGTAATCGCGCCTAACAGTCTCCTCTTTTCCTCTCTAGGCATATCCCTACCCCCCCCCCACCCCCACATGGTCTGGTGAGCTGCGGTTCACGCGAAATGTTTGCAATCGTAGAGCCGGGTTTAGTGACGGCTACTAGGGCAGACAATTTAGTTTGAAACTATTTTAAACTTAGGGGAGGTAACTAAAAGGAGGTTGCTTTCACGGGGGGGGGTGTAGGGTAGGGGTTGGGGGAAAGGAGGGTGTGGGGGGGGGTTATTGTCCTTAACTACCTACTGATAGTGTTTTAAAGCAAATATTTTCAGTGGCAGCATTGGTACTGTCGAATTTACAAATTATGAATTACTGAAAAGTAGAAAATAAAACAACTAAATAGCGGCGTATGATACGCCGCGGATCGGCTCGTGCTAATTAATCGACATATGGGGACTGTTGTAGATTTACATTGATAGCTATTTCTTTCACTCTCATACCAAATTCATGGAGGGGAGAAGACGGGGGGGGGGGGGAGGAAATTAGCGGGCAATCTAAATGTAAAAATGTATGTTAGTTTCATTAAAATTGTGAGATATAATATTTCCTAATGTCGTAAGGGTAGACATGAAATAAAGTGATACTGCTGAAATAAGAGAGTTAAGATAAAACATAAAGAGAAACATATCCATACGTTCTGATCACCTAAGTGTCTAGATTTATCTCAATTTTATTAAATTCTGTTTTTTTTTTAAATTATTATTATTTTCAATTACATAATTTTATTTGATTTGATTCAAAGTTGAAAAAATGTCAAAAAAAAATGTTTCTTAGGCACAAATTTTATTAGCAAATAGTTTAGACAATGTGCGTATAAGCGTAGAATATAATTATGTCAATGTTAATAGCAAATATATAGAAACGTTCAATCAGAATTATCACATATTATGCAATTACTTATTTAAAATCGCCAAAAGTTTTCAACTAAAATGTTTTTAAATTATTTTTTATTATTAATGAATATAGATACAAAAATTATTTTCTTTTTACTTAAATTTAGTATTTATAGTATAAATTATATTTAGTTTTACATTTTTGATTAAATTCTAATTGAAAATAATATATTGACAGGTTAATTTTATTTCTAGAATTATGAAAAATGGTTGTAGTTAAGACGGTAGCGTAGTTAGGCATTGACATTAGCGCATTTATGTTAGAACAGTAGTGTAGCTAGAATATGAGAATAGCGTTGTAAGCGTAAGAAATTAACGTAAAAAGGGTAAGGCAGTAACGAAATTAAATTAAATGTAGTGTAGTTAGGGTAGGACAGTATCGTGGTTTGGTGAACGGATGCTCTAAGCATTTCATTTTGTCTTTCTCCGTCAATATCATAGCTGTCCCAATGCTTTAAGAAACTTCTATTGTTACTTAGATGCTCCCTAATTTCTGCTTTATCATTTGCATCCCATGGCTCAATTTCCCTATACTGTCCATCTACTAGCTGGACGCCGTCAAATGCTCACACATCTTAGGCAGGTGCCTGTCTGTGTTGAGGCGATAACATTGCACCCTACTCCCATTGAGGATTATGGGGACTCTGCTGTCATTGTCGGCCTCATTTGTAAGTATAATATATTTTGGGGCACTCTTCTTTCTCCAAAGAGATGGTGATCTGGACAACATTTGATTGGCCTATTCTCTTAAATGTTGGCGTTGAGTCCTGACTGCTTATAAATTTCAGAATTGCCATTATTTCATCATCAGCATGCCCCTTTGCCCAGCTTTATCGGCGTGGGTTATTCATATTTTCTGCACCCTGTATCTGGATGTTACCCCGGGTGGCAAATCTCTGTGAAATTCTTTTGGGTGTATTTGCTCATAAATAGACAGTTAAATTCAGTTAGTGATAGGCTACATAACATACATAGCTCTCTTTTTAGTTCGTTAAAAGTGAATAGCCAAACCATGGTCGACTAGACAACATGTCTTTTATAAAAATTATTATGCCTCAACGGATTAATTATTTAAATCGTGTAATAGTTTCTCGTTTAAACTACAATGCATAGACAAATAAAGTTTGATTAAGCTAAAAAACTTACTCTACATACTTTTTTTATAAGTTAAAATAGCAACATCGCACTTCCTCTTTTATATATTTTTTATTCATAAGTATACATTTATGTACTTTGTATTATTTGTTATAAAATTTCCATGGTAGCTTCCCTTGGTAGCTTTATTGTATAAATGGGAAGTAACTAAACAATGTCAGTTTCTTTTTCGCACTTCGCGATGAGAAACCACTAGTTAAAAGCATTATGGTTACATTTTTTTTTTTTTTTTTTATTTTTTTTTTTTTTTTTTTTTTTTTTCCTTTTTTATTTTTTTTTTTGTACGAAAAATAGTTACGTAGAGGGAGGCAACATTTTAATAAAATTAGAGGATCTTGAAGCTGAAGGTATCAGCATATTTTGTGTGTTAAAATTGAGAGTTGAAAAATGTAAATCATGTTTTGTTAGACAAGAAAAATATTGATGACATTATCGAATGTTGTATTGATGACATTATCGAATGCTGTATGGATTAGGAAACTTAAAAGTCAAGAGAAACACTTGGTTAACATCAAGTTAGTTGTTGACTTAAAGGAAAATTTGAAAAACTACATACTTTTTCTACACCAAAATTATAATTTGATAAACACAGTAGGTATGATGATTCGCAGAACTCAAACGTAAATGCTGCCTGAAGAAATATGGCTTATTTCATGTTTCTTTAAAAAAAAATTAGAAAACCTGTGTTATTATCTGTTATGCATGTTTGTATTGGAAATGTGTATTGCATGTTGTAATTTGCATATTGTCGTTTCATATTATTATGCTTTTTGTTTTTGCACGTTTTATTTCACTATGTTATTGCGTGTCGCAAATGCCTTTTTTGCAGTATGTTATGGCATGTTTTTGTTATTGCATGTTGATATTGCATATATTTAGGTATTGCAGGTTGTTATAAGATGTTTAAAGTTTAAAAGATATTTGTAATAGTGTATGTTGTTATTGTATGTCGTAGGTGCATATAGTTATAATGGTGTATGTTGTTATTGCATATTGTTAATACATGTTGCTATCGTAGTTGTTGAACTCATTTGTGTGTCTTGGTAGATGCTGGTAGATGCTGGTGGATGCTGGTGGATGCTGGTGGATGATGGTGGATGGTGGTAAATGGTGGTGGATGATGGTGGATGATGGTGGATGGTGGTTAATGGTGGTGGATGGTGGTGAATGGTGGTGGATGGTGTTGAATGGTGGTTAATGGTGGTGGATGGTGGTGGATAGTGGTGGATGATGGTGGATGGTGGTGGCTGTTGGTGTATTCTGTTGAATGATGGTGGATGGTGGTGGATGGTGGTAAATGGTGGTGGATGATGGTGGATGATGGTGGATGGTGGTTAATGGTGGTGGATGGTGGTGAATGGTGGTGGATGGTGGTGAATGGTGGTGGATGGTGGTGAATGGTGGTTAATGGTGGTGGATGGTGGTGGATGGTGGTGGCTGTTGGTGTATTCTGTTGAATGATGGTGGATGGTGGTGGATGGTGGTGGATGGTGGTGGATGGTGGTGGATGGTGGTGGATGGTGGTGGATGGTGGTGGATGGTGGTGGATGATGGTGGATGGTGGTGGATGGTGGTGGATAGTGGTGGATGATGGTGGATGGTGGTGGATGGTGGTGGATGGTGGTGGCTGTTGGTGTATTCTGTTGAATGATGGTGGATGATGGTGGATGGTGGTGAATGATGGCAGATGATGGTGGATGGTGGTGGATGGTGGTGGATGGTGGTGGATGGTGGTGGCTGATGGTGTATGCTGGTGAATGATGCTAGTTGGTTATGCTGTTGATATTACCTGTTGAGATGGGTTAATGTGTGGTTGTTTGCATTAGTTTGTCAAGTATTGTGTAGATGAGCAGTGTTGGCAGGCTTGTTTTCTGCCTTGGATGGCTGTTAGAACCTTTATAGTTTTGTGTTTCTAATTTAATTTAATGTAATGTGGAAGGTCTGATGTTTGTTTTTTTCTGGATATATATATATATACATAATGAAAATAATCATTCATTAAGAAGCGTCAATCCTAATTGCTGGATATCAATCTATTCCTTACGTAATATTATTGAGATCGATTCCATCTGGGAGCATGTACGTATGGCCTCCACTCGTCTATACACCACACATCGACCACATCTTTAAACAACACATCGACCACATCTTTACACCGTTGATGCTCCTTTGTTATCCTCACGTACTGTAGCTCTATACACACTAGTCTCACAGGTGTCTGAAGATGTTTGTTTTCTTCTGCCCGGTGTTCTTATGTTGAAACAACGTTTGATGGCGTATCAAAATATTCATTTCTATTCTTCTTCTTCGTTCTTAATTTTATATATATGTAATGTTGGATGGCATTTCATCCAACACAATTAAGGATGACGTGTCAACATGTTAAACGTCATTCAACTTGTTGTTTTGCTTTGGAATTGCTTGGATTGCCTTTGTCCAAACAATTAAGCAGTTGTTTGATTTTGGAGTTATCTCTCCTAGATTGGTTGCTATCCCCCGCTATCGAGCATTTTCTGTGCGGGGGTTCGAACTCGGGACTTCAGCAACTATTGTCTTAACCGATACGACCACGCCGACCCCTGACCTCTACCAAGCTTGCTGTTTTATATGACAGAAAACCTTGTTATGACCATAGCTAAAACTTGCGAATAGGCCTCAGGTAAAAACACATTGCGCTCCGATTTACGAACTCGGGACGATGTTCAGTAACGTAAAGTTCGTCGTAAGTCGGTTTGGTTGTAACTCAAGGCTCGGTCTGTACTGTCTATAGTTTAAGTAAGGTAAAGTTCCCTTTCGAACCTTGCGGTCCATGGGGCAGGTGAAGTAGAGTTCATCTGTTTCAGTGACCTTTAGTTTCCCTAACGTGAGTTAGCTACCCATCAGAGCTGGGTGAACTCAGGGACGTTCTACTGATACAAACCCGGGCTTCGAGCTCGAGACGTATTCTCTAACATCTGACCACGCCGACCCACTGTCTTTGTTTAAAGTGGTAGGTTACCAGAACATAATATCTCACTAAGATGTTTTTTCCTTTATGTCAACACAATCGTTTTGTTTCTAGGATTGACTACCACACATTCAAGCCTGAACTTTTCAAAAAAAGCGGTTCTATTTTGTATCATCATTAATTAAATTAGTTGTAATTACCCAGGCAACTTTAATTAAGTTGATCTTCAATTGCAATATTAAACTAATTTTACCTACATTGGCGAAGTTGGTGAGTTAACGTTCAAATACAACATTAATTAATTGTACCGTTAATGGCGACATTAATGAGTTTTACCTTTGTTAACAACATTGCTGAGTTTCACTCAATAACTTAATTACCATTCATTAAATTATCCATACGGATTGTGTTATTAAGAAACAAAATAGTTGTAACAATGTTGTTTAGTTATTATTTCATCTACGTATAGTCCATGCATCTCTTAAACAGAAGCTGTAAGTCGCTGGTTAGCTATTACAGAAGTTAGTTATATAAACTCTTCAACTACCATTCGGTGAAACTAGGTAGACACGCCCATGAAAGTGGGTCCACAACATGGTATAAAACATGGTGAAGACGTCATCTCTCTCTATTGCGAACCTAACAGGATGGCGCGCATCTTAATTCTGCTATCAAGCCTCGTCTCCATTGCATGTAAGTAGAAATTTTACTGGGAAAAAAAAGAATGATTTTAATTTTAAATATTAATATTTTATCACATATTAAAGTTCACTTTTGGACCTGGCGGCCCACGGGGTCTGTTTCTGTGACTTCGGTGTATGAATGGATGGTGTGGTCAGCACGGTGCGCGGACCTTTGACCACAGGTGCTTTGACCATAGGGGGTTTGACCATAGGGGCTTTGACCACAGCGGAGCTTTGACCATAGGGGCTTTGACCATAGGTGGTTTGACCACAGCGGGCCTTTGACCATAGCGGTGCTTTGACCATAGGGGGTTTGATCATAGGGTGTTTGACCATAGGGGGTTTGACCACATGTGTTTTCTCAGCAGAGGGTCTTTGATTACAGGTGGTCTATCAACGGGTGTTTGATCACAAGCGCTGTATCCAGCTTTGGTCATAGGTGTGATACAATTAACACGATTTTATACATGTTTCCTGAGAGTACGTTAATAGAAATTAACATGTATTTAAAAAAGCCAAGAATTATATTTTAGTCTCCACATAAAGGCTGGCGCTAGACCTCATAGATTTATTTTAAATATAAATGAAACACAAATAATGCGACATATAACAAGTTTCACAAATAAATAATGTAGAAGTACTTGAAAATACATATCATATATAAAGGATAAAAAATGAAACAAAACTTACCAAAAATATAGTCAAAGATGTAATACATAAAATGGTTAACTAAATGACAGATGTGCTATAGCACGCAAATATGTCAGTACATCTGTTTGACCATATTATTACATCATGTCAAAATTTAAAATATAATTTAGCAACTTTTAAAATAAATCCTTACCATATATGGACAGCATTGGACAAACCACCTGAGATCAAAGACCCTATGTGGACAAAACACCTATGATCAAAGCCGGACACAGCGCTTGTGATCAAACACCCGTTGATAGACCACCTATGATCAAAGACCCTCTGCTGAGAAAACACCTGTGGTCAAACCCCCTATGGTCAAACCCCCTATGATCAAACCCCCTATGGTCAAAGCACCGCTATGGTCAAAGCCCCGCTGTGGTCAAACCCCCTATGGTCAAAGCCCCAATGGTCAAAGCTCCGCTGTGGTCAAACCCCCTATGGTCAAACCCCCTATGGTCAAAGCACCTGTGGTCAAAGGTCCTAGGACCGGTCAGCACTAGGCCCAGCCGCCTCTACTTTCCCTGAAACTAGCTAGATACTCTGCTGAGGGCTTCATCGGCATTGAGGAGTCTTGGCTGAATCTCACTTTCCAAAACCCGAGTCATAATGAAGCCATAATGTATATCTACTTTCCCTGAAGCTAGTTAGGTACCCATCAGAGCTGGGCGGACTAAGGATACGAACCCGGGATTCGAACTCGAGACTGTCGGGTTAGCCGTTGTATTCTCTACCACCTGACCACGCCGTCCCACATTTTATCTTAACATTTTATTTTAACTCTCTAGATGGCGTGCGGGTGGTGTCCGAACCCAACAAGATCTACCTGGGCGTGCCCGGCCCACTGGTCATCAACTGCACCACCTCAGACTGGAGCGACAACAAGAGAGTGACCCTCGACTCCATCACCCTGCTGACCGCCACAGTGGGCGGAGGGCGGGATTTTGACGAGGTGGTCACCCTCACCGCTAACGGTACCGTCGGGCTCGTGTCCCAAGACGTCCAGGCTTCTGCTGAGGGCTTCATCGGCATTGAGGAGTCTTGGCTGAGTCTCACTTTCCAGAACCCGAGTCACAATGACGCCAGGATGTATATCTGCATGGTGAAGGGGCTGTATAGAAACGGGGACGTAGTCTTGAGAGAGAACAGCATCGTGACTGAAATCAACGCCGACTATCTCAGCAAGGTGGTGGAGGACCTTCAAACCAGATCAGAGAACCTACAGAGACAATCCCAAGACAACAGCGAGGGAATTAAAAGTCTGGCAGCACAAGAATCAGAACTGGCAGCGCAAATTGAAGAAGCTAAACAAGCCATTAATGTAAGTTTGAACGGGCTGAAAAACCTAGTCGAGAGTTTCAACGCCATGCAGTCTTCTGATATAGCCACCACGGAGAGGATTGACGCGTCTCTGAAAAGTGTCAACGAAGCTGTGGAGCGCCTGGAGTCAGCTCAAGAAGTGGCCAAAAACAGCTACACCCAGCAACTTACAGATTTGGCCACAAGAGTGGCCAGTTTACAGGCCGCACAAGATGCACTGACAAAACAAGACGAAGATTTTAGAATGAGGTTCGACAGATCCGCAGCTGCTGGGTTCGAGATTTCTGGAGTTTTTGATGGCAGAAGATACCTCTTGTCTAGAAGATCTGGAGATAACACATACAACACTGCTAAACGTCTGTGTGCTCTCTATGGCGGGTATCTGACGGAGCTTAGCAGCTCCCAGGAGCTTAGCTTCATCAGAGGTTTTATAAATAGCTACACTGATTTCGGCACGGTGCTCATCGACGGAAGTGACACAAGAACCGGAAAGTGGGAGTCCACGCGCACCAATCAGCCGCTGGCTTACTACGAATGGGCGCAGGGTCAGCCTGACAAATGGGGCTCGAACCCACACTGTCTGGTGTTGTGGCGGGACCAGTCTTGGAAGATGGACGACACCGATTGTCTACAAAACTCGGTCTCTGCCAGATTTTTGTGCGAGGTCCCACAGTAAAGGCCGTACTGCACATTGTTTGTCTAGTTAACAATTTTTAAAAGTTCTTCGATTACATTATTTCTGGCTGCAAATAAATTATACCAAAATAAATTTGAATTTAAATGTATTTCGACCGAAGCAATTAAATAATTTTGAATTTAAAAATAAAACAATGAGAAGTGATATATCCACTTCTTTCTTTCTTCAAAATATCTTTTAGTTACTGCATTTATGTTTTTAAATTTCATAATTGTTATTATTTTTTGTTTAATTTTTTTTCCATTGAACTTTTTTCGCACTCTCCACCATAACAAGAAATATATTAATGCATTTAATCATCATTAATCAACGGTGTTATTATACAAGTTAGGCTTTTGGGGAAAACTAGATCATCAAAGAACTAATCTGATTTCTCAATAACTCCGTTGTTACTGACCCGTTTTATCTAGATAATTAAAGTTTCCATTTGAATCCTGATCTAACACAATGGCATACCTTACCGTAAGGAGCCGAGGTCTGAACAAAGTGTAAAAACGCTAAAATACCCAGATAACTGGCTTTGAAGAATGTTTCAGATGTTTTTTTTAAGTTAATTTCTTGCTAAAAGAAAAAACTTTAAAATCTCTAATAGAGGTTTAATGGGGCGTGTCAATGATAAACAATAACGCTACGTCGCTAGACTGGAACTGAACTAAAAACTCCAAGAATAGCAGGACAATCGATGTGGCATCATAGACTAGAGGCTGTCACCACACCATGATTTTAAATCGGCCTTAGACTCAAGGCAAGATACGCGTAGTTTACGAACAAGAACGGTGTGGTACTGTAGGTAAACTCATGGTTGTTAAACCGGAAAGCTCCGAGTTCGAACCCATGGGCAGATGAGGTTTGATAGCAATCCATCTAGGAAAGAAATCTCAAAAATCAAACAACTGCTGACTTGTAGTTTGTTCTTAGATGGATAAAATGGCTATGGAAGCAAATTCAAAAAAAAAAAAAAGAGCATGCCTGAATGGCACATAACAGGTTGACATGTACTACCTAAATGTGTTGGAGGAAATCCCTTCCAACATGACAATAAAGAGAGAAAAAATAGACGGCTATGAAAGAAAGTAAAAACATTAGACTATGAGATGCACCGCAAAAATAACTTTGAAAAGTTAGAGAAATGTGGGAAGTGTGGAGAAAGATGCTTGAGAGGACGTGAACTGTGTGGGAGTGGGGACTTATGTGTGGGAGGAGGGGAAAGATGTGTGACAAAAATGAGAACAATTGTGGGAATGTAACATTCGATCGAGTCTGCTGGATCTTGGGATAACACTGAAAGCCAAGATTACACAATGGTAGGAGAGAGCTGGTATGTAAAAGTTACCTTTCTTTTATGCGTGTGTCACTAACCTCGGCTTACTAGCGATAGTGTGGACAGTAATTCACATGAACCTAAACACATGAGCCTAAACACACGAGCCTAACAAATGAGCCTAAACACGTGAGCCTAAATATACAAGCCTAAATTAACCTAATCGTATGAGCGTAAATTCATTAGCTTAAACGTAAGCCTAAACATATGAGCCTAACACCAGAGTTTCTTCCAGGCATCTCTTCGGGAGGAGCGAAGCCCCCCCCCCCCCCCCGCTCGAAAAATTCTATCCCCTCCCCCCCCCCCCCCCCCCCCCGAACGAAATGAAATTTGTATAAATCTATATATATAATTCTCTTCTTGGAGACGCTAGAAAACAAGCTGTAAGCGCGCTCTCTACCACCCCACCCCTACATGGTCTGGTGAGTTTTGTTCACGCTAGATGTTTATAATCGTAGAGCCGGGTTTAGTGACGGCTATTAGGGGCAGATAATTTAGTTTGAAACGATTTTAAACTTAGGGGAGGTAACTAAGAGGAGGCTGTTCTTCCAGACTTTTTTTCTCCGGGGGCGGGGGTGGGGGGCACTTGATATTCTCGGGGGGGGGGGGGGGGGCGGTCAACATTTTCCGGGGGGGGGGTGACACTGGTAAAAGATGCCTGGAAGAAATTCGCGCCCCCCCCCCCCCCCGAAATTTTCAAGTGCACCCCAAGAAAAACAGGCGCATAATCGGTTGACACGTAGGTCTATACTTTATTGTGTTGGAGGGAATAAAGAACGAAGAAGAGGAAGAAGTTTTTCTTCACTGTTTTCTCCTTTTAACTTTTTGACTGGACTTACCTTGAAAATAGTTTTTTAAATTACTTCTAAAAAGTCTTCCATTTCAATTTGGTGACGATTTGCGACGATTTTGAGAGGGGCAGGTGTGTGTAAAAATAAGGTAAAGACACGATATTATATTATGGACTATTCTAATAAAGCTTATAAGCATTATATATAACCTTTACAAAATTAGTTTTAGGTATTGATTTCAAATTAATTGATTTGCCTTTAAATTGTGTATAGTTTAACTCCTACGAAGTTTTTAAACGAAAACTTAGATTACATTGTAGAGATCTATTTATTATTTGTTATATAATTATAATTATATTATATAAAAAAACGAATGAAAAGACCATCCACTTCCTCCATCAAACCCCGGATGTTGAGCTGTGGCCATTTTCGCGTTGAACACTTCCTGGAAAGAAACTATATTCAGCGACGTTGAAAAATGGTAAGCTAAGCTTTTTAAATGCACACTTGTATGAATTTTAACGATTATTTTATCTTCAAGCATTGTGTTTACATATGTGTATATATATGATGTACTTAATACCATGTTATTTTCATGTTTGACATAGTTTATTGCAATGACTCACAGCGAACTCAAAATTGACATGAAAACATTCGGCCTTTGCCGGCTGAGAAGGGGGCGGGGGCCAGAAATCAAATTTATTGTAGATTTATAATTGTGTTTACTTTGGTTAATATTAAGGGTGTATAGCTTACTATCAAACTAATTTCATTTAGCAATGAGAATTCTTTAAAAGTAGGCTACAATTTACTACCAGAGATTCTAGATGTAGATCTAGATTTCTATGCTTAGTATTCTATTTTGTGCATCACAACAATGCATTTTTTTATGGCCTATGCTAGCCGGAATAAGATACAACTGCAGAACCCTAACACCAACCCTAATCTTATCCCTAACCCTCATCATTCTAACCCTAGTCATAGGTCACTGCGCATGCGCAGAGCTATCTTTTGACGACTAAGTGGAGACGTTGGGGAGAAAAATCTTCTTCTGAGTAGTCACTTAATTTTTTTTATTAGGCCTAGGCCTATATTTTAACATTACAGAGAATTGTCATTAAGTTTTAAGTAAAATAATTTGACCTATTCCATTGCAAAGTATATCCATTTTAAGATAACAAGACACGAAATCAAAGCTAAGGAACTGAAATAATGCAGTTAACGAAATTCTGATTAACTCATTTCATGGCCACAAAAATTTGGTAAAAGTGCTCCTGTATGAATTTGGCATTACCGAATACTAGTATATCACTTACGGAAGCTTGACCGTTTGTGTTATCACAACACTTTTACATTTATTTTATGAAGTGTCTATTCTCAGTCGACTGAGAATAGCCGTATTAGGGCTAATCACAGTTGTGACTGTTTTTTTCATGATTTAATGTTAACAACACCCGAATAAGCATGAAGTTGTGTGGATATGTGGGTGGCTGTAGTAACGGAAGTTGCGGGTTCTGATGATCAGATGCCTTATCCTTTTGACACTAATTTATGCCCCCTATTTTCGAAATTTTTATTTTTTCCCCGTTACTTCTGATAATTTTTTTTTTGTTACTGTGATTGCTGGCATATCTGCAAAAAAAAAAGACCTGTCCCTTAAATTTTTGCAAAGAGAAAAAACTTGGGAAAAGTGTGATGGAAACTGAATTATACCTAACAAGCCGATCCGCGGTGTATCATGCGCCGCTATTTAGTTGTTGTTTTTTCTACTTTTCAGTAATTCATAATTTGTGAATTCGACAGTACCAATTTTGCCACTGAAAATATTTGCTTTAAAACACTAAACCCCCTTCCCTCCCCCCCCCCCCTCGTGAAAGAAGCCTCCTCTTAGTTACCTCCTCTAAGTTAAAAATCGTTTCAAATTAAATTATCTGCCCCTAATAGCCGTCACTAACCCGGTTCTACTACGATTAATGTAAACATTTAGCGTGAACCACAGCTCACCAGACCATGTGAGGGGGTGGGGGTGGTAGCGATAGAGAGGAAGAGAGGGGACTGCAAGGCGCGCTTGCAGCTTGTTTTCTAACGTCTCCCAGAAGAGAATTATATATATAGATTAAAACGGACATGCTATTTCACCTGATATTTAGGCCTATTCTATGTGAATTTTAAATGGTAATTGACAGTTGAATAGCAATGTGAACTACTAACTTAACTATTTACTAAACTGATGCATAATTAATATAGCCTTGGCCCTAATTTTTATTCAATATATTTACAAGGATTAACCTATAGGCCTAAGGCATAATATTTTAAAGTCTAGGCCTGTTCTATTATTTAATACGAAGTGACTACTCGGAAGAAGATTTTTCTCCCCAACATCTCCACTTAGTTGGCAAAAGATAGCTCTGCGCAGGCGCAGTGATCTAGGGTTAGGGTTCTGCGGTTGTAAACTCACGCATGCGCAGTACCATCGAAAACATCGCCGCGAAGGCAAGTCGTAGTTTCTCTCCATTGTGCATGCGTATCCTATTCCGGCTAGCATCGGCCTGTTTAATATGCATTAGTTTATCATTTATGCAAAGTACCAAATATTTTATGTGAAGTCCTATTATAGAACAATTAAAGTATACAGTATCAGTGTTACAGGTTGAATGGTTAAATTAAGTGATGCGTTTGATAATTAATACTGAACAGACTTAACTATCATAGCAAGAAAAATAAACATGTATAGGCCTAATCACTACATCAACTCGGTGTGTGAGATAATTTTAAGAGCCTTGAGTAAGACTTTTACATGCACATCGTGATGTGAGTTGCACTTTTGAAAAATTTCTGTCAGGATAGTGTGTTATTGTTCAGATTAGTAGTAATTTCAAAATACCAATCTTATATTTGTTTGCTCACATACTTATACCATATTGTTGAAACTATCACTAAATCTGAATGTTTTATGACATTTGGTATACATACAACCATTAGTATGACAAATGTGTATGTTCATAAGGTTGAGTGTGTCTATGTAGGCCTAAGAGGAAGTGTAAATTTTTCTTCCTTGTTTTTGTTGATATCTGTATTTGATCTCTGGTCTCTGCATTCTGCTGATGAAGTAGAGTTCATATTTCTTGACCTAAACATATGTAGGGATGGTCAGCTTAATGCATATTCCCCTAACCTGAATCATGAACCCATCAGAGCAGGGTTGACTCATTGATTTCCTGCAGATTGGAGTCTGGTCTAAGATCCTAGCACTATTAACACCAGGCTGTCCCATAGCTTTAAAAGTACCTTTTTTTTTTAAGTTCTGCGCTCTCTTCTTCCTCTTCCCCCCCCCCCCCCTTTTTTTTTTTAATTTATTTTAAAATCCAGATTTAAATCACCCATTCACCTTTAAACTTTTACTGCTGAAGTAATACTGGTGAAATGCATGACTAGAAAAAAATATGTATGGCCTCTATGATTTTGAGAACAGGATGTTATATATCAAATTTATTAACACATTTCATTAGTTGTTATTGCCAAATGTCATCGGTGTTCATCCTCTGCTTTTGTTCATGCGTTTTGTTTCTTTGATTGCAGACAGAACAACAGCTAGACTGTGCTTTAGATTTGATGAGGCGTTTGCCCCCACAACAGATTGAGAAAAATTTATGCGACCTCATTGATTTAGTAAGTTGTGTCACACATCATTTTTATCCCTTTGTTCTTAATTCTTCTCTTATCTTTACTAAATTATTCTTAATTGACTATATCATTTAGCTCCCTGCGAAGTCGCTATGCTGACAAAGTGCCATATTTTTCAATACATTTCTTATGTTATTTAGGTTCCAACCCTATGTGAGGATCTTCTATCATCCGTTGATCAGCCTTTAAAAATAGTTAGAGATAAAACAGTAGGAAAAGATTATTTACTATGTGACTACAATCGTGATGGCGACTCATATAGGTATGTTTTTTTTTTTTACTTTTCGTTATAATGTCTCCAGCAGTTTTTGTAATTTATTGCAATTTTGGTTTTACTGCTGGTTGGCTGTGTCAGAAATTAATATGCTAATCCATGTCAAATGATAGAAATACAATTCGAGAGCTCATTGTCTTTATAGACTCATGACCTGAGTGTTGTGATTTCTATATATTATAAGCTGGCTTTATCTTTCTAAACTTCAGTCAAGCCAAATTGACAAGAAATATGCTTTTAGAAGATGGGGTGTTGTCTTTGAAGTTTAGTCTATGGATATGTTCAGGGGGTGGGGATTCGCACAGTTTTAGCACTGTTGTATTTTACCATTTCTTCTACTCATATATTTTTGTTATTGTCGAATTCTTTCAGATCCCCATGGAGCAACAGCTATGACCCACCCCTAGATGATGGCACCATGCCATCAGACTCCCTACGAAGGCTGGAGATTGAAGCCAACAATGCCTTTGACCAGTATAGAGAAATGTATTTTGAAGGTGGGGTTTCCTCTGTTTACCTGTGGGACCTGAACCATGGATTCGCTGGGGTCATTCTTATTAAAAAAGCTGGGGATGGTTCTAAGAAAATCAAAGGCTGCTGGGACTCCATTCATGTTATTGAGGTTCAGGTAAATGCCCTTACTTTTATGCCTTGATCAAATTTTTGTTCTGTATTTGTTGATATGACTGTAATAAATATTAGGCTATTTTATTTAAAGGTTTAAAGAATTTCCCTCTTGTTTTTTGTTTAAATTTTATAATACTACTCCAGGCCAAAATCAAGATGATATAAACACCATCGCCGACCTAACAACATTATAAATCAATTTGCTCTAACACTTTCTTTTAATGAACCATCTCTTCTGTTATATTATATGATAGAACCTTAATCTTTAAAAGAATCTGGGATGATCAAACTTCAAATATTTGTATTTTTCTATTTGTGATTCATGCAATTCCCTGACACACCTTTTTCCTTTGATTCATTTGTTTAGGAAAAGTCCAATGGGAAAAATGCACATTATAAGTTGACATCTACTGTGATGCTCTGGCTTCAGACCAGTAAGGAAGGGTCAGGGACCATGAACCTTGGTGGCAGCCTAACTAGACAAGTAAGTCCATCATTTTTATTTTCTCGCCGTTGTGAATTGCATCTGAATGAACTAGAATTATTTTCTTGTATGAATTAATTATTATGCAGTAGTATATATTTTGTTGTTACTTTACAGATAGAAAATGATGCTGCTGTCAATGAAAACTCACCTCATATAGTTAATATTGGAAAGATGGTGGAGGTTGGTATTTGTAGCTTTGTTTCTGTTGGCTGTTAATCCAAATAATCTCAGTGTAGTTACTGTCTTCTCATTTATTACCTCTTGGCTTTTCTAAATCTATATCCTTGTTGCATCTGGATATTATATGAATCTTATCATAGTTATATTCTTACAACTATTTATCTATCTCAGCAGTGAGAGAAAGTGCATGATTTTTATTTTGTTGCTACCATAACAGAATGATAGGTTCTCAATTAAGCTGGTTAGATTCAGAATATGATTCAGCAGTTGAGTTATTTTGGCATGTCTGCCTTTTGTCTGAATTCCACTGTAATATTTTTGTTTCAATATCTCTCACCATTGTTGGGTATTTAACTCTTTTAGTAAAAAGTATTAACAGATTATTTGACCAAGGGTAAAAAAATAATTGTAGTATTATTTCTCATATTTCAGAGGTGAAATTTTAAAAATAGTTTTTAGTGCCGTAGGATTGTTTTTTGAGTTTAGTGTTAAAAATGTACTTTTTTTTTATTTCTGGTTTCTACTTTTTTTAATAGCTATTACTCATTTTAATGTATACTTTTATCATCTAATCCTCCATTTCTATACAAGTTACGTAATTTCTCCCCAGGAGATGGAGAACAAAATTCGTAACACATTGAACAACATCTATTTTGGCAAGACAAAAGACATCGTCAACAGCCTTCGCGCCATTGATCCTATTCAAGATTCAAAACAGCAGCAACTCTTCAAGAAAGACCTCTTCAATGTTCTCTCACAGAGGACCCAGGCCCAATGATGTTTTTCCCTGGCTGTGACAGCTCATGTTCCTGTTGGAGACCCATGAGTAATGGTTTATGAAAGTGATCTACGCCTTTTTTTTTCTATGTTTAATCAAACTTTTTCACCACATTCGTTCCTAGTTTATTTGAAACAAAAAATAATAATATTTAAATAATGAAATGATGCTTTAAATAGCATATATATTGAGGTGTTGTATTTTTTTTAAAGTTTGTTGAGACAAAGATGGCAGGTCGATTTCAAATAGCATTACTCTGGTTCTTGTTTGTTTGAATAATTTTCTATTATTGTATATCATTGGACTGATTCAGTTACTGTGTCACTTACATGCCTTTTTTTAAAATGATTGTTTTTGTTTGTCCACAATCCAACCCAAACTATTCAAACAGCCTTTAGACTTGTAACATTTCATAGCTTCGTTATGCCACTTCTGTTATAAAACTTTAAACTAATTGATTGTATTTGGAAAATGGTTCCCTGTTTAAAGAAGTGTTTGTGTTATTGTGTATGTGAGTCTTTCAATTTTCTTTTTTTAAATAGTGGTGTTTTCTTTCTGTCAAAGATTTGTTGTTTTTTTGTCAGACAAGATTAGTGTACAGCTGTCCATTTTTTTCCCTCCTGAATAATTACTTAAATTAAATTCCACGCTATCCGGCTCGAATTCTCTGAATGGGGTTTTGCAATCCTTCAAGTGTGTAAAATATAGTTAACTTGTGAATTCATTTACTTTAGCCCTGACTTATGTAAATGAATAAACTTCAGATTATTATAAAAAGCTAAGATTTTTTCCTAAATCTCTGATTATTACTCATAGCATGATGGTACATTTCTGTTGTATATAGGAGGCTGCTATATGTTGGTAACATGTCTGGGTGTTGACACTAAACTCACTAGAGTTATCTTTTTATTGAGAACCCTTCCAGGAGTAGCTATGTCTCCTTTCTAGAATGTTGGGTTCAGATGAACACCTAGTATGGGTTAAGGGGGTTCAGTATTGTTGTGTGAGTACCTAGCTCCTGATTGTTTTCACTAATGTGCATACATAAATACACTAGGTTAAATGCTACAACCTAAGTACTTCTTTCCTTTAACTTGTGAACAATTTTATTTATTAAAATATTATAAATTAGATTGTAATGATGGTTTATTTCATGAAACAATACGCGAACTATGAATATTAAAGCCGTTCGAGTTCTTAAATTCTTTTCTACAGTCATGCTAGAATGTTGATCCTTATGCTTGTATTATATTCAAACTATATTTTATGAAGCAAATCATGAATAAATTCATACCAAGCACATTTCTTGCTGTCTGTTCAATGGTTAACTTAAGTCTTCATCTAATTATTAGAGCACTGATTGGGGTGAGATATTTCCTGATGACTAGGAGGAAGGTACTTTAGTAATGTGTCATACTTGATACACATCAAAGATTAATCACTGGGAGATTCCTCTGTAGCACAGCTTGTGATGTGTACTAGTATTGTCTTTCAGAAGCTGACACACGGACAAATCTGACAACCCAAGCAGAATGTCTTTCAAAAGCTGGCACACTGACAAATCTGACAACCCAAGTAGAAAGTCTTTCAGAAGGTAGCACACTGACAACCCAAGCAGAATGTCTTTCAGAAGCTGACACACGGACAAATCTGGCAACCCAAGTAGAATGTCTTTCAGAAGCTAGCACACGGACAAATATGACAACCCAAGCAGAATGTCTTTCAGAAGCTGACACACGGACAAATCTGACAACCCAAGCAGAGTGTCTTTCAGAAGCTAGCACACGAACAAATCTGACAACCCAAGCAGAATGTCATTCAGAAGGTAGCACACGGACAAATCTGACAACCCAAGTAGAAAGTCTTTCAGAAGCTAGCACACTGACAACCCAAGCAGAATGTCTTTCAGAAGCTGACACACGAACAAATCTGACAACCCAAGCAGAGTGTCTTTCAGAAGCTAGCACACGAACAAATCTGACAACCCAAGCAGAATGTCTTTCAGAAGCTAGCACACGAACAAATCTGACAACCCAAGCAGAGTGTCTTTCAGAAGGTAGCACACGAACAAATCTGACAACCCAAGCAGAATGTCTTTCAGAAGGTAGCACACGAACAAATCTGACAACCCAAGTAGAATGTCTTTCAGAAGCTGGCACACGGACAAATCTGACAACCCAAGCAGATACCACTATAGGAACCTAGAAGGTACGAATATTGATCTGTTGTCAGTGTAGCACAAGCAGCTGTAATGTCGTGGACCCATCTTGGAGGAATCGCCTAAAACTTGAGTACGATGGAGAGGTGTGGTTGCTTGACAACGCTCCACAAGGGGTCGACGTGAATGATGAGTACTGTTTCATGCTTGGGTATACATCGATGTTTTAGTACTGTGGCAAAAGCAGATTGGCCTCCTCGTGTGGCACCCTAAGGCTACTTGGTTTACATTACACGAGTAGAGTGTAAATACAGCTGTATTACACAGGAAGGGATTAACAATTTGTTATAGAAGGTACGTAAATTGAAGTACTCTTGAGGTGTGTGGCCAAATTTAACAAAGTATACGACCCATTTTCCTGTATTTTGATAATCAAAACAAAAACAATCTGGTCGATTTGTAGACATATTATTTTTGTTTTGTATTTTTTTTTTGGGGGGGGGGGGGGGGTATTTCTAGTGATTGCATTATATAGAATAGTTTTATCTGAATATAGTCGTTTGGATTACTGTCTTATCAGGTCAATAATCTATTCTTGTATTGTCTGTTTGTACTGGGGGTAGGGTGAACATAATTTATCTAAGCTGGGGAAGGATTGCATCGATCTGAAGGAAACCAACTGTATTTAAGTATATATTTCTGGTGACTAATGAAGACTTGATGACAATTTTCTATCTAGTAACGGGAGATTGTGTAGCTTGCTCCATTTAGTGATGGGAGATTGTGTAGCTTGCTCCATCTAGTAACGGGAGATTGTGTAGTTTGCTCCATCTAGTCACGGGAGATTGTGTAGCTTGATCCATCTAGTAACGGGAGATTGTGTAGTTTGGTCCATCTAGTAACGGGAGATTGTGTAGTTTGGTCCATCTAGTAACGGGAGATTGTGTAGCTTGCTCCATCTAGTAATGGGAGATTGTGTAGTTTGGTCCATCTAGTAACGGGAGATTGTGTAGCTTGCTCCATCTAGTAACGGGAGATTGTGTAGCTTGCTCCATCTAGTAACGGGAGATTGTGTAGCTAGGTCCATCTAGTAACGGAGATTGTGTAGTTTGGTCCATCTAGTGGCGGGAGATTGTATAGCTTGCTCCATCTAGTAACGGGAGATTGTGTAGCTTGCTCCTTCTAGTAACGGGAGATTGTGTAGTTTGATCCATCTAGTAATGGGAGATTGTGTAGCTTGCTCCATCAAGTAACGGGAGATTGTGGAGCTTGCTCCTTCTAGTAACGGGAGATTGTGTAGTTTGATCCATCTAGTAATGGGAGATTGTGTAGCTTGCTCCATCTAGTAATGGGAGATTGTGTAGCTTGCTCCTTCTAGTAACGGGAGATTGTGTAGTTTGATCCATCTAGTAATGGGAGATTGTGTAGCTTGCTCCATCAAGTAACGGGAGATTGTGGAGCTTGCTCCTTCTAGTAACGGGAGATTGTGTAGTTTGATCCATCTAGTAATGGGAGATTGTGTAGCTTGCTCCATCTAGTAATGGGAGATTGTGTAGCTTGCTCCATCTAGTAATGGGAGATTGTGTAGCTTGATCCATCTAGTAACGGGAGATTGTGTAGCATGCTCCTTCTAGTAACGGGAGATTGTGTAGTTTGATCCATCTAGTAATGGGAGATTGTGTAGCTTGCTCCATCTAGTAATGGGAGATTGTGTAGCTTGATCCATCTAGTAACGGGAGATTGTGTAGCTTGCTCCATCTAGTAACGGGAGATTGTGTAGCTCGCTCCATCTAGTAACGGAGATTGTGTAGTTTGGTCCATCTAGTGGCGGGAGATTGTGTGGCTTGCTCCATCTAGTAACGGGAGATTGTGTAGCTTGGTCCATCTAGTAATGGTTGATTGTGTAGCTTGCTCCATCTAGTAACGGGAGATTGTGTAGCTTGGTCCATCTAGTAATGGTTGATTGTGTAGCTCGCTCCATCTAGTAACTGGAGATTGTGTAGCTTGCTCCATCTAGTAACGGGAGATTGTGTAGCTTGCTCCTTCTAGTAATGGGAGATTGTGTAGCTCGCTCCATCTAGTAACGGGAGATTGTGTAGCTCGCTCCATCTAGTAACGGGAGATTGTGTAGCTTGCTCCATCTAGTAACGGGAGATTGTGTAGCTTGCTCCATCTAGTAACGGGAGATTGTGTAAATAAGCTCCATCTAGTAACGGGAGATTGTGTAAATAAGCTCCATCTAGTAACGGGAGATTGTGTAGCTTGTTCCATCTAGTAACGGGAGATTGTGTGGCTTGCTCCATCTAGTAACGGGAGATTGTGTAGCTTGCTCCATCTAGTAACGGGAGATTGTGTAGCTAGGTCCATCTAGTAACGGGAGATTGTGTAGCTTGCTCCATCTAGTAACGGGAGATTGTGTAAATAAGCTCCATCTAGTAACGGGAGATTGTGTAAATAAGCTCCATCTAGTAACGGGAGATTGTGTAGCTTGTTCCATCTAGTAACGGGAGATTGTGTGGCTTGCTCCATCTAGTAACGGGAGATTGTGTAGCTTGCTCCATCTAGTAACGGGAGATTGTGTAGCTAGGTCCATCTAGTAACGGGAGATTGTGTAGCTTGGTCCATCTAGTAACGGGAGATTGTGTAGCTTGTTCCAACTAATAACGGGAGATTGTGTAGCTTGCTCCATTTAGTAACGGGAGATTGTGTAGCTTGATCCATTTAGTAACGGGAGATTGTGTAGCTTGTTCCAACTAATAACGGGAGATTGTGTAGCTTGCTCCGTCTAGTAACGGGAGATTGTGTAGCTTGCTCCATCTAGTGACGGGAGATTGTGTAGCTTGCTCCATCTAGTAACTGGAGATTGTGTAGCTAGGTCCATCTAGTAACGGGAGATTGTGTAGCTGGTCCATCTAGTAACGGGAGATTGTGTAGATTGCTCCATCTAGTAACGGGAGATTGTGTAGCTTGCTCCATCTAGTAATGGGAGATTGTGTAGCTCCGTCCATCTAGTAACGGGAGATTGTGTAGCTTAGTCCATCTAGTAACTGGAGATTGTGTAGCTTGCTCCATCTAGTAACGGGAGATTGTGTAGTTTGTTTCATTTAGTAACGGGAGATTGTGTAGCTCCGTCCATCTAGTAATGGTTGATTGTGTAGCTTGATCCATCTAGTAACGGGAGATTGTGTAGCTTAGTCCATCTAGTAACTGGAGATTGTGTAGCTTGCTCCATCTAGTAACTGGAGATTGTGTAGCTTGGTCCATCTAGTAACTGGATATTGTGTAAATAAGCTCCATCTAGTGACGGGAGATTGTGTAGCTTGATCCATCTAGTAACGGGAGATTGTGTAGCTTGTTTCAACTAGTAACGGGAGATTGTGTAGCTTGCTCCATCTAGTAACGGGAGATTGTGTAACTTGCTCCATCTAGTAACGGGAGATTGTGTAGCTCGCTCCATCTAGTAACGGGAGATTGTGTAGCTGGTCCATCTAGTAACGGGAGATTGTGTAGCTTGCAGAATCTAGTAAAACGTTACGTTATGCACGGAGTTTCTTTCGGGCATATCTCCGTTTGATCCATCTAGTAATGGGAGATTGTGTAGCTTGCTCCATCTAGTAATGGGAGATTGTGTAGCTTGATCCATCTAGTAACGGGAGATTGTGTAGCTTGCTCCATCTAGTAACGGGAGATTGTGTAGCTCGCTCCATCTAGTAACGGAGATTGTGTAGTTTGGTCCATCTAGTGGCGGGAGATTGTGTAGCTTGCTCCATCTAGTAACGGGAGATTGTGTAGCTTGGTCCATCTAGTAATGGTTGATTGTGTAGCTTGCTCCATCTAGTAACGGGAGATTGTGTAGCTTGGTCCATCTAGTAATGGTTGATTGTGTAGCTCGCTCCATCTAGTAACTGGAGATTGTGTAGCTTGCTCCATCTAGTAACGGAGATTGTGTAGCTTGCTCCTTCTAGTAATGGGAGATTGTGTAGCTCGCTCCATCTAGTAACGGGAGATTGTGTAGCTCGCTCCATCTAGTAACGGGAGATTGTGTAGCTTGCTCCATCTAGTAACGGGAGATTGTGTAGCTTGTTCCAACTAGTAACGGGAGATTGTGTAAATAAGCTCCATCTAGTAACGGGAGATTGTGTAAATAAGCTCCATCTAGTAACGGGAGATTGTGTAGCTTGTTCCATCTAGTAACGGGAGATTGTGTGGCTTGGTCCATCTAGTAACGGGAGATTGTGTAGCTTGCTCCATCTAGTAACGGGAGATTGTGTAGCTAGGTCCATCTAGTAACGGGAGATTGTGTAGCTTGCTCCATCTAGTAACGGGAGATTGTGTAAATAAGCTCCATCTAGTAACGGGAGATTGTGTAAATAAGCTCCATCTAGTAACGGGAGATTGTGTAGCTTGTTCCATCTAGTAACGGGAGATTGTGTGGCTTGCTCCATCTAGTAACGGGAGATTGTGTAGCTTGCTCCATCTAGTAACGGGAGATTGTGTAGCTAGGTCCATCTAGTAACGGGAGATTGTGTAGCTTGGTCCATCTAGTAACGGGAGATTGTGTAGCTTGTTCCAACTAATAACGGGAGATTGTGTAGCTTGCTCCATTTAGTAACGGGAGATTGTGTAGCTTGATCCATTTAGTAACGGGAGATTGTGTAGCTTGTTCCAACTAATAACGGGAGATTGTGTAGCTTGCTCCGTCTAGTAACGGGAGATTGTGTAGCTTGCTCCATCTAGTGACGGGAGATTGTGTAGCTTGCTCCATCTAGTAACTGGAGATTGTGTAGCTAGGTCCATCTAGTAACGGGAGATTGTGTAGCTGGTCCATCTAGTAACGGGAGATTGTGTAGATTGCTCCATCTAGTAACGGGAGATTGTGTAGCTTGCTCCATCTAGTAATGGGAGATTGTGTAGCTCCGTCCATCTAGTAACGGGAGATTGTGTAGCTTAGTCCATCTAGTAACTGGAGATTGTGTAGCTTGCTCCATCTAGTAACGGGAGATTGTGTAGTTTGTTTCATTTAGTAACGGGAGATTGTGTAGCTCCGTTCATCTAGTAATGGTTGATTGTGTAGCTTGATCCATCTAGTAACGGGAGATTGTGTAGCTTAGTCCATCTAGTAACTGGAGATTGTGTAGCTTGCTCCATCTAGTAACTGGAGATTGTGTAGCTTGGTCCATCCAGTAACTGGATATTGTGTAAATAAGCTCCATCTAGTGACGGGAGATTGTGTAGCTTGATCCATCTAGTAACGGGAGATTGTGTAGCTTGTTCCAACTAGTAACGGGAGATTGTGTAGCTTGCTCCATCTAGTAACGGGAGATTGTGTAACTTGCTCCATCTAGTAACGGGAGATTGTGTAGCTCGCTCCATCTAGTAACGGGAGATTGTGTAGCTGGTCCATCTAGTAACGGGAGATTGTATAGCTTGCAGAATCTAGTAAAACGTTACGGTATGCACGGAGTTTCTTTCGGGCATATCTCCGCCCCGGACATTAAAAAAATATTCTTAGAAAATATTTTGGCTACTTAAACCAGTGTCCGCCTCCCCCCTCTTCCCCTCCCACCGTTTATTTTAAGAGCGCCTCCCGGAAGTTTCAAGTGCCCCCCCCCCCCTCCCGGAAAGTAACAATTAGCGGATCTAGCCGTATATAGTGTGCTGGCGAACCTGTTAGTCATGAGATAGCTACATGGGCTGGCGGTTGTGGGTCGTCTCTTGAGCTGTCCCGTTATCCAAACCACAAATCAGTCGCGCCATTCGGCGTTTCAACCGTGCTCTGTGTAATTTCTATTATGGTATGATCATTCCCTTAATGGAACAACATAGCTGTAATGGATGCGCCCAGGGTTGTTTTTTTTTTCAGACGTTATTCTCCTGAAGAGAGACAACAGTTGAAGTGTATATTTTCTAAAACAAACTTAAAATAAAAAAATAAAATTTCTCTTTTTTTCACCCAGAGTGGACTTGAGATGCCTGAATGAAACACACGTAAATAATCGCACCCGTGTTAGCGAGGTGTACGAACAGATAATACTCTAGCTCAGAGGTTCTTCCAGTCGTTCCAGGCATCTCTTCGGGGGGGGGGGATAGAGCCCCCCCCCCCTCCCGAACGAAACGGAATTTATATAGAAAACATATACTTTTACCAGTGTCCCCACCCCTCCACGGAAAATATTGTCCGCCCACCCCAAGAAATATCAAGTGCCCCCCCCCCCCTAGAAAAAAAGAAGAAACACTGCTCTAGTTCAATGCCAGATAGTTTGCTTGTCTCACCCTAACCTACTGATACAAGTACTAGATCTAATATTACATTCAACACACGGAAATTAGATTTCAGTATGCTTATTTATTTTTAACGCACGAACCAGATGGGCCATAGGGCAGCTGAAGTATAGTTTTATCTATTACACTTATCTCGGCAAATATAAATGTATAGTCTGGCAAGACGCCTTTGTTTTTCCCAACTCAAGTTGGGTACCCATTTGAGCTGAGTGAACTCATGGACATCCTACAGGCGTCAGCCAGATAATCGAAACTGAAACTTCCGGGTTGGTATTCGTAAGTTTTATTTGCTCAAATACCAAGAGAGAATTTCTTCACTCAGATGGAGTGATAATATTCTAAATTGTGGACAATAGTGCACAAGAAATGTCAAGGTGACATTCCTATCTTAGGCTGCATGTTTAACAGGACAAACTCGAGCTGGTTTTTTAATTTGGCGCCCCCCCCCCCTCCCTATGTATATTTTATATTTATAATTCAAAATAGCAGCTACAATGAGCTTATTTTGACGCCCCTAGGGTCGGCGCCCTAGGACATATGTACCCCCCCCCCCCTGTCGCTACGCCTCATGTGGTAGGTTTATAGAATAGTTTACTTTTTGTTCTTCGTTTTTAATTGTAATGCTGGATGGGATGTCTTCCATAATAAAGTATTACGAGTTAACATAATATGCGCCATATTTCCGTTTCCTTGACTGTGATTTCAACTTGCTTTTCTTTCTCGGTTTCTTTGTATTGGCTTCGTCCAACCAAGAACAAACTACAAGGTAGAAGTTGTTTGATTTTGGAATTGTGTCTCCTAGTTGTCCGCAGCTAACGAGCCTCATCTGCCGGGTGTTCGAACACGGGACGTTTCGGTTTAGCAGCCATGAGTTGTACCGGCCCGACCACGCCGACCCCTACTAAGTAGTTGATTAATGCTGTTTCTAATCAATAATCAATACCGTCAACAGCGTGCGAATGTAATGAAATATGGGGATGGGGGATTTAACTACAAATTAAAACTGATTTTCAAGTGTATAGTTAAACGTATTTTAATCTTGGTATAATAATACAGGGGTTTCCAAACTACGGCTAGCGGGCCGGGTGTGGCCCCCGAGGTCCTCACATCCTGCCCGCGGGGATCTTTTTGTCTATGGAAAGATAAATTTTGTTGGAGGTGGCTGAGGAAATTCGCCCAGAAAATTCAAAACGATTAGAAAATGTAGGTACGTTCTTCGGTGGGGGGGGGGGAAGAGGAACTGGAGAGATATCTGGAAGAAACTCTGGCCCCCGAACCGATATTCGATAGTTAATGCGGCCCTCGGATAAAAAAGTTTAGAGACCCCTGGTATAATAAATTACAGGCTGTTGAGGTGAAACATGGCCTACGGTGGTCTCGTAAAGACAGCTTTGTTTTTTGTTTGTTTGTCATTACATGTCTACGTGATCATTTGACCCATCGTATATGTAGTTGAAAATAAACTGTTAACTGATGGCCTGTTTGTGAAACCGTCAAAGTGGCCGCGTATGCTTCACGTAGGTAATCTTGTATATTTATAAATCAATTTTAATGAAATTTATCAAAGTTGGTGTACAGGTTTGATTAATCACAGACATTCAGTTATTCGAGGGCATCAAAACAGATTACAAAATCAGTAAGATTTCTTTTTTTTAAAAACATAATATATAAATAAATAATTATATATATATATATATATATATATATATATATATATATATATATATATATATATATATATATATATATACAAATAATCGTTAAGGAGTTGGGGATAGGTTCAGAATCTATCTAACCGACTTGATACCTAATTTCCACCATATGGTCTCGAGAATGAATAGGCTTGAAGCCTCGATGACTAATCGGCCGTCTTTGTAAACATAACAGCTGTGCATACGAAGACTCCGGCTGGTATCTACCCATCGAACCCAGCTACTAAAAGATGTCCGCAAATAAAATATAATAGTATACAAACAAATACCTAGCTGCTGTAGACAGTCAAAAGAGAAGATTGGCTCAACCTACGAGAGCTGATTCAAACTGCACTGGAGAGTTACAGCTGCAGCTCCTTGCTACTCTAGGGCTTCTAATGATTGAGTCTAATGATTGAGTCTAATGATTGAGTCAAGTAATGTACTCAAATACAATACAAAGTGGCATTAAACTGGCTTAATTAGAGACCTAACTAACTTTTTTATAGAGAAACAAGTTATTAAAAAGTCTAGTGACAATTTAAGCGCAATTTACTTAAATCGAGATAAATCATATATTCAGCAAATAAATAATGCAACACAAGTAGTTTTAATAATTCAAAACAAAATAGAAACCAGTATGGAAATTGCGCTAAAAAAAGACAACTATATTAATCTATATCAACGGAAATAGTTTTATTTTAACGAGTAGGCCTACACGATGCTCAGTTTAAAATATCATCCTAGGCCTACAAGATGCTCAGTTTAAATAAAAAAAATTAAAAACTTTTTGCATTAGTGCCGGGGCTCTTCTGGACATGATCCAAAATATTGAAAAAAGTTAACTCAAACAATTTAATGGTGAAAAAGGTATAACATAGGTTGTTTTTTTTAAACTGTACAAGAAAAGCGCGCCAGTTCTATTTCTACAAAAAATACTTGAGGCCAGACCTCTATTGCTCCGAATGAGGAGCACCTTGACCAAGTTCTAAAGACAATGCTTGCACCAGCCCTATATTGATGATATAGGCTTACTTGTTGCTTTACCATAACTTTACAAAATCTTTTTTTTTAATTGGATATTTTAACATTATTTGAATATACTAATATATTTTTTTTCTTCCTTAATAATGTTTTTTTTTTTTATTTTGGTTTCAGAAACATCTCAATATGAATTTTGTGTTTTTTCTCTTTGTTCCGCTATTCTTTGCGAGTTTAGCGAGAGATGTTTTAGGCAAATTTGTCAACGAAACAACAGTCGTACACAAACGTTCTACTATCAGAACCCAAACAGACGTAATATATCTTATATTAATATTTCTACTTTATAAAATTACAATATCAGCCACTATCGGTCAGTGGCGTATTCGAGGGAGAGGGGGGGGGGGGAGGGCGCTGGTAAAGACTTATCCTAATCAGAAACATTTCTTTTTCACTTATGACTATTAAAACCAGATAGTTTCCCACTACACAAAAATTTTACACAAATAAATTGATCTAGACAAAACTGATTATTTCTTATTTCCATCAAGTGGCTTAAATACTATTTACAGTTTCCTATCCCCTACACACATGAAATCAGGTTTGAGACAGCGTTGTTCCCTGTTTTTACTATTGAAGGAAGGCCGGACAATAGAGCGACAAGGTAATTTGCTTATGATTGGCTTTGGTACATAAGTTTGGATGTGATTGGCTTTGATATTTCAATTTGGATACGATTGGTTTTGATACTCAAATATAAACATGATTAGCTTTGATACATAAATTTGGATATGATTAGCTTTGATACATAAATTTGGATATGATTAGTTTGACACATAAATTTGGATATGATTAGCTTTGATACATACATTTGGATATGATTAGCTTTTATACATAAATTTGGATATGATTAGCTTTGATACATAAATTTGGATATGATTAGCTGTGACACATAATTTGGATATGATTAGCTTTGATACATAAATTTGGATATGATTAGCTTTGAGACATAAATTTGGATATGATTAGCTGTGACACATAAATTTGGATATGATTAGCTTTGATACACAAATTTGGATATGATTAGCTTTGATACACAAATTTGGATATGATTAGCTTTGATACGTAAATTTGGTTATGATTAGCTTTGATACATAAATTTGGATATGATATCCAAAAAGAAAAGCAGGCTGAAATCGTAGTCAATGGCCTCAATGGCGCATAACCAGTTGACACGTAACGTTTAATTGTGTTGGAGGCGTGGTCGAGTCGGCAAAAAGCTCATGGTTGATAAATTCGAACAAAGTCTCGAGTTCAAACCCACTGGCAGGTAAATCTCGATCCCTTTCAACACAACGAAGAAGAAGAAGAAGAAGGATATGATTAGCTTTGATACATAAAATGGGATATGATTAGCTTTGATACTTACTTGCAATCGTTATTTCTAAAATATTTTATTATTCGTTATTTCTAAAATATTTTATTATAAAGCTATCACTTTAGAAAAAAATTTCAACTTTGCAGTACTAAGAATATTTTTTAAATTGCTTATACACTATAAATTATATCACCGTGCCAGAAATCATCAACTGCATTGAAACAAAATATTATTTTATCTGAAATAATTCTTACTGAAACATAAAGAGTAATTATTTGTAAAACCACATGAAATTAATAGAGAGTAAGTAAAGTTTCCTTTCCGACATTGACAGTTCATTGGGCAAGGGTTCGCCAGTTTCTGAAGGAATAGTGTGATCAGCACTATAGTTGATCAGCACTAACTTTCCCTAACTAGAGTTAGGTACCCATCAGAGCTGGGTAGACTCAGTGACGGTGTACTAACTCGAACCCGGATTCGAACTGGAGACACACGGGTTAGCAGCCTAGCTCTCTACAGCTAGGCCACTCCGTCCCATGAAATATTTACTGATGGTAATTTGGCAAGAGAGTTAAAATACACTTAGTTTTGCATCATGCAGCCAGCTTAGTATTTATCTTAGGACTGAAGATTGAAAATCTTAACAAAGTTTAATAAATAAACGAGTCAAAATTCATTCGAAAACGAAGAAGAAACCATATACACATGTTATTAAAGCAGACAAAAAACGACTTAGCGACAGGCCATTACAATTACATATTTTAAACAAAATCCAACTGTCACTAAAGAAAAACAACTAACTTGAAGCTGTCATTATTACATTCGCCACAACCTACACATGTTATGTAATAACAAAATCGACTATGATTTGCCTAAGAAAACACAGTCTATTTTATTTTTAAACTTAGTCAAATATTTTAAAACTTCTCTCCATACCTCTTTAAGAACTTTTACAGTCATTTTAGAGTTATAAGGTTGCTTGTTTGAGACCAATAGAAGAAGCAGGATTTCTTGGGGGTATAGGGCTAAAGGGTAAGGCCTATCACCAGCATGTCATTTCTTGTTAACAATTAGTTTATTTTGGTAAGATTCAGTTTTTTCTGACACAGACTGATGAACCCATTTATGTGCCAGAAAAAAGCATTTCTATTAAGATGAGTCGTTTTAGGTGAACAGCTTCCGAGAGGAAAGCGATAACAGCTGCTGTAAGGGGGGTGGAGGGGCGTTTTGTAGGGGGATTTTTGTTTGGCCTTTGTTTAATAAAATAGTTTGTAATTTAGACATTAAAACGATGAATTAACTAACATATGTAATTATATTGTAGAGTGAAATTTACTATGGTTTGTAAGTGAAAGTTTTGGGGCCCCTAAAAATCGGGGTCCCTGACTGCAGTCCTTTCAGGCCCCACCCCAGCCCCACTAATCCGCCCCCAACCCCGAACCATGTCTACCGCCCTCCGGAACAAAATAACATTTTTAATAGAAGAAAAAAATATTTTTACCAGTGTACGGTCGCCGTACCCCCCCCCCCTCCCCAACACCCCTCGAGAAAAAAATGTCTGAAACACTGTGATACTAATTCCACCCGCTCATATTAATGTCTTGAATTCTAACGCCGGTCACTCCAGGTTTACCATTGAAATGTGTGCAGATCGTCCCTGCCTTGAGATCAGAGCCTTCCAGTTCAGTGCACGATTCGATAAACGTCAAGTGGTCAGGTCTCACAAGTTAGGGAGAACAGGGGATTGGTCACGTCAGGAAACAAACGGCCTCATGCCTTTCACTCGAGGGAAATCCTTCAAAATAAAAATAACTACCAACAGCGGAAAGTACAAAGTGCGTATATTAAAATTGTGTAATGGAAATAAAATGACAATGATATTATAATTTTTTACTATAATCCAAGGTTGTTGTTTTTTTGTTTTGTTTTTAGGTTTATGTCGACGGTAACTTCTTCTGTGATTACAAATTTGCAGTTCCACTTCACACAATTAAATTTATTAAAATTGCAGACCAAGTCAACATCAATAAACTTACAGAGCAGGTATGTTTACACTCATTGGGAATTATCAGTCTTTAGTGTGGCCTTCAGTATTTAACTACAGGGATATTTAAAAAAGGGGTTGTCTGTCAATGTCGTCCCACTTGTCAAGGGAGAGTGTAGGAAAAGCGCTTCAATGACGACTGGATGGGCTCAGAATTTATTAAATTAAAATTTTTAATCTTTAAAAAAATATGAGTATAGATAATGTGCTCTGTTGCAAATTTATAAACAGAAGAAACGAAAAAATAAAAACATCTTTTTCCACAATAGTGTGGTTGAAATTTTTAAAATGCATTAATTTTCGTGATCGCCTTATAAGAACAGCTGCCTTTAACAACTAATATATGTGATTGTTAACACGAGTAGATTTGACGCGTACTAACCACAGAGGCGTAGCGACCCTACCCGGCGCCCGGGGACAAACTTTTCGATTTGCACCCCCCCCTCCTCAAGATTTCGATTTGCACCCCCCTCAAACTTTCGATTTGCACCCCCACCCCTAAAGATTTCGATTTGCACCCCCCTCCCCTCAAACTTTCGATTTGCACCCTCCCCCCCCCCTCAAACTTTCGATTTGCACCCCCTCAACCTTTACATTTATTTTTCCAACCCATTTTGGCGCCCCCTAAGGTCGGTAATCCCAAAGTCTCGAGTTTAGATCGACTATGTACTACGTCCCTGAGTCCACCCAGCTCTGATGGGTACCTGGCTACCGTTGGGTAAAGTAAAGACGGCTTGGCATAGCGATGAACACACTATACATGTCAATGCCGAGATCACTGAATCATCGACCGCTGCAGCTTGTTGTATTGTCCGCACTGACTAAAGCCGAACAGAAATCATGTGTGGTGTGTGTGTGTCTTGACCTCCGCCGACCTTTTAAGACTCACTCACCGGACCCCAGGGGTTTGTCAAACCCAGGTGTAATA